ATTCCAACTATCCAGTGGATATTACATATCTATATTTCATTGTTTGTCACTCAGACAAAAAAAAATGTAGTAAAGTAGGACTGGTAAGATTTTTAAGAAAAAAACGCAATATCGCGAAATCTGGTGCCAAACCAAAAAAAAAACAAATTACTAATTCAAAGCAAAATGATATTTAAATGAGAAAATCATGCAGCAAGTGTATCAGTGAATTGTACTGTCGTTGTTTATTTTCTTTTTCACTTTTGATTGTGTGTGTCCACCAAATTCATGTTGCTGTTTTTATTTGAACGAAAACGAAAAAGAAAAACAAAATTGTAAAACAATTTTCAGTGTATCATACAGATAACAGAATGATCCACCATGGGAGGAAAGATAAAACACAAACATACACAGTCAATTCATTTGTTAAATGGAACATTTACAAGGTTTGTTTATAGGCTTTAGTTGAAAAGAAGACACAAAAAAATGCATTGAGTTGTCGCGTTCTCCTTTCTTAGCATTTACAAGTGATATCTCTTTAGACAAATTTATAGGCAAAAGGATCAAAACAAACAAACAAACAAACAAAAAATACATTTGATGGAGGAGAATCAACAGATATTATTAGCAAATTGAATGAATTATTTGGATTTAACCAAACAAACATAAAAGAAATGATAATGATGACGATGGATGATAAACATGAAAATAAAAAGAAAATTCACATATTCGCATTGAAAATGCAACCAAAAAAGAAAAAAACAAGCAAATTTACACAGCATACAACATTCGAATAAGCATTCTTTCTCACTCTAATCGCTCTTTATCTTTTCTATTCGAATGACGGACATTTGTTCGCCTATCAAAAGAGAACAAAAAAAAACACACACACAAATATTATGCAGATTACCACAAATATGTTACCAAAATACAAAAAGATAAAATTTAAACAAAAAAAACACTAATAAATAAATATATGATGAAAAAATAAAAATAAAATATGTATCCAAGTATAGAAGTAAAAGATATTTAGAGACAAATTGAGACAAAGTTTATGTATATCTAGTATTATTCTCTCTTTCATACACTCAATCGGTCAGCTCAAGTGTTCCGCATGATGGATAACACACACACAAACACACACACTCACAATTCATCCACAATATCATCGAAACACTTGAACTGACCCAAATCACACAATCACATACATACAATTTTTCGATCTATGCAAATTTTTTTCTCGTTCATTTGTCGCATGTATAGCTACGGTATCTTTTTAAGAAATAAAGTAAAAACTACAAATAAAAGTTTGTTTAAATCAAATATGAGCAAATGTGCATTTTATTCCATTTTTATTTAGTTCTCCGATTTGTAATGCCATTCCAGGAATGATTTGCATTTTTCGTGAATTGAAACGGATCTGAAAACCTTTCTCTGTCTTCGGTAAGTGTCTGAAATCCGATTCGAGGATTCCTTTTGGCTGTGGTTAGTATCCTTCTCCGCTAATAACATAAACAGATAAGCTCCACTTGAAAGATAAGAGCTTAAATAACGTTAAATCTAAATACAAAGAGATTGGATTGGCGGATGCATTTTCAGTTGTGCAACATTTTTCACTAATCAAAATGTTTGGTTCACCATTTAACATTGTGCACTCGACGTTTGATGAAAAATATGCGTATATCAAAACTGGATCACGGAAGTTTTACGAATCCTACTCGTTTCACACATAAAATTACAAACTAAACTCGGAAACACTGAATTTTTCCCATTTTTTAAACACGCAAAGTTAAAATTGTTCACAAAACAATCAAACCAAATATCTTCATAAGAATATTACACAACTGAAAATTGCCATCTTGCACTGAACGAATTATTCACGATAATTTATGTCCACATATGATTGATGGATTTTCAGTTTTCACTTTCTTGGCTATCAAATTCCGAACGAAAATATTTGGCATTTCATCCATCATTCTGACATCTCAATGTGCATAGCGCTCAATCGTATCGAAATCGGAATTAATCAGTATTAATGAAATCTCTAGTAGTATTCGGAATATTGCACTTGATTAGTGATGCGCTTTTAACTTTTAATTGAAATTCTCATTCAAATTTCAATACAAAATCAACAATCAAGAGTTTCAACATGAAGTCATGCAACCATAATACTATACAAATACTCATAGGTTCTGACATAGTCTGATCTCGTTGATCCTGACCCCCCCTGGCAAAATTTGACCCCCAACGATTTTTTCGGACCCATTGCCATTTTCGGACCTTTTTTTTTTGTTCCTCAATTTTGCTGCGAAGGGAACATTAACACTAGATAGAATGGATTGATTATGAAAATGATTTTACACTAGATAGAATTGATTTTTTTGACCCCCAAAGGAATTTTTGGTTTGATCCAGGGCGCCCCCCCCCCTGAAATTGTTGGTGTCAGAACCTATGCAAATACTATAAAATTCTTGCGAGATTCAGTACACCTCTTTGATATGTGTGGTGTTTTCGAAATTTATTTCGAGCCATTTCATTTAACAATTCAAGCTCTTGATATTAAATATTTAGAACAATAATTGAACGGTTCCAGTTATTATTTGTTTCATTTAACGCAAATTTCCACACACACACACACACACACACACACACACACATCATTATCCCTAACTGCACAATTCATGGTCCACGAATCGTTGATTGTAATGTGATATCTGTTAAGTGGAGATCCCATGTATCCGTTTCAAAAACAATTATTCGTTCGTTTGCATTGGATTTATAAACAAACGAATTATTTAAAAAAAAAACAGAATTGAATTTCCCACAAATAAAACTCAAATTAAAGCAAAAACTAAAATTCATCGGAAGAAATGTGCATTTAATGAAAAATATAAATATTAAATGAACACGACAAGCTCATTCATATTTGAAATTACGCCATAAAGTTCGAAGGTGCGTTCCCCATGTGCTCACAGAAAGCTCAACATACTTAAGCACACGCACCACGTACTTAATTTTTACTCGAAGCTGTCATTTGTTCAATGTGACGTTTGGCTTGTTGTTTACCGTGTTTTGCGAATTTGAAATATGTTTGGCTCGACAGACAACTGAGAAAAACGAGAAAATATCGTCAAAATGCAGGAGATGGACATTGAAGAGGATATATACGACTTTCTGCCGTCGGTGTTGAGAAAATACATCATTCATTACTGCCGAATCTACACAAATGCCAAAACATTCGCGGATTTCATACTAACGGGCGGTCGAGATGCGGTTCTGTACGAAGTCAATGGTAAAAATATTCTGTCTTCGCTGCATCTCAACGACACTATTTTTAAAGGTATCTTATTTTGTACAATGAAGAAGTCCCCGAAAAATTATTCCAATTGATTTCAATCGATTCGATAGACATTCCATTACCCGAATCAGCATCAGAAAATGATACACTCAACATTTCGTTGAATGCCTATTATTCGTATAAGAAAAAACAAAAGGAACAGTATTTATTTTTGCGCATAAATGATGGCCTGACCGTACTGGGGAAGGTGGACAAACAACTTAAGGTAACGAAAAATTGGTGATTTATTTTGATTTTCAAACTAATTCAAGGAACTTCGTTTTGATTGCAGATACATCGAGAATTTCAGAACATTTCCGATTATAATATCATCGATGAAAATGGCAGCGGTGAAGCTAGTGTGGAAATCGTCTATGTGAATGGACCGCCAGAGAAGTATGAGCTGGTTTCATTTGGCTATGCAAGCAAAGGAATCGATCTTCGTCTGACGAGCGAAGGTGACAAATATTTTAAGACATTAACTCAGGAGTTGGAAGAACGTGTCAAACAGGCGAGCTCCAATTTGGCCGACATAAACATAAATATTCGAAAGGAAATTGATGCATACCAAAAATACTGTCAAACAGTTGAACCAAATGTAAATCGATTATTTTTCTTCGCACTTTTTTATGCGACAAAAGTTGAGGTTTTAATTTTATTTTATTTTTTCTATCGTTTTTTGGCACCATTCATGGCAGTCAAACGAAAATATCAACATTTTGTCGAGGTACGGCGATTGCTGGATACGAAATGTAAACGGACAAGTTTTAATCGGCATTCCTGTATATAACTGCTCAACCAGGTAAGGCACAACAAACAAAAAACGCCAGTAAATTAATCGGATGATTATAGATTAGCAACAAAACCAGTGTAGGATACTTTATTGTTGATTCGATTCAGTTGAATAATATTGAATTGATTATTGGACGTTCTACGTCAAGTCTACATTTGTAATTTGATTTTTGATTGCGATTTTTTTTTTTCGCAAAATAATATCAGAAATCAATTGTTAAAAGAGCATTTCAACCGAACGAAATGCAATCAGATATGCTAATGTTAAAATGGTTGAGAATTTGATTTTAAATCGAAAATAGTCGAATTTTTTGTTTGCAAATAATTTGCTATTTGAATATTACTAATAATTAGAACGTATTTGATGTGAACAAAATTGTCATATAGAATTTGACATACTTCATGAATGGGTCTAAAAAATATAAAATATTCCACGTTTTCTTTTTGTTTCTCCTTTTTTTCTCAAATATCATCTACCTAAATTTATTAATTGCAATTCAATCTTACGATTTGTAAATGATAATTCATTTTAAATATGTTTTTTTTTTTGGTTTCATATATGTATATCATCGTCATTTTGTATTGTCCATATTTGAATGGTGGCTATTTCAGCAACACTAAACTCGTTCGTCTAATTCTTCTAAAAATGTCGTATTATGATGAACATTTAATTGATTATGTGTTTTGGGTTTTATTAAGAGCTAAGACAAGAGCAAAAATTGATTACATTTGTGTTTTTTTTTTTGGTTGTGGTTGCTTGTAATTGATGGAGTTATTATACAAATTTCTATTCTACACTTTTATTCGTCACTATTATTTGCTCGCGTGTGCTACCAATTTTAGTTGGGTGATGATGTTTGGAAATGAAAAAACCACCTAAAAGTTTGCATTGTTTTTTTTTCTCCTTTAGAATTGCCTCGAATTTCAATTAAAACTCTCAATGGAGGGATTTTTTTTTAAAGAATCGAATAAATAAAATCTTTTAACATTCCTATGCTAAATAAAACGGTTTTGAATGCGTTCACTAAATAATTGTGTGCGCTCCAGTTCAACGTTCCTCCCTCGTTTACCTCTTATTCTTTTGTTCGAATTGAAACGATCAACGAAAAAATCGCATCTTTTTTACTCGGTGAAATAATTTCTATTCTGAGATCATTTATCATTTAAATCGAATTATTCCAAAGTTGTGCTGTCTCGTCAAGATTGTTGTTTGTGTATGTGTGGTCGTCTGTCTCAGTCGTTCACACCATTTTCTTCGATGCATTTTTAACAATATTGTAAAATGGTTCTGGATCATAGTCAAATAATTGCAAATCGTATCTGAAATTCAAAAAACAAAGCATAAATTATTAATGAAGGTCAATAAATTCATTATTCAACAACAACAGCAGTAGCAGGCGCCGCCGCAGAATAAGACACATCGAATCGGCCACAGCCATCGTATAAAATCACTCACTTGTAAATATCACAAAGTCCATCCAATTGGGCAATACTCAATTGGGAAAAAAATTTCGTAATCAATTCTTGGGTGTTTTTGCCTTTGCCCGAGTTTTTCCACTGCGGTGAAATGTGCTTACGCAGATCGGCCCGTTCGATAAGATACCGCTGGTCTGCGTCGAGCGTTTCGAATTTTGCAATTATGTCGAATTTAATTTGACACGGTGTGCAAAATTCGGTAATTGGTACCCAGTGCATGTCGGTTTTTGGTGTTTTTTTCGCCATTTCATCCAGCAAATAGCTTACAAATTCGGAGAACAATGGCCATTTTGGCTCTCGAAGTCTTCGCTGCTCCAAAAATAGAATGGAAAAGAGATGACCATTCAAATCGATATCCTTTGCAAAAACAAAAAGAAGAAAAGAAAATCGCTTATAGAAAGCGGTTTCGTATCGAATGTAACTTACGTTCTTTCGATATTTTCGTATAATTTTATTGCCCAATTTATCGTGCAGTGAATGCGGTATGGCGAACATAATTTTATCTCGATAGGCACTTAGAAGCCTTTCAAATGGATGACGGACAATTAAAAACGACACCGATACATTCAACGCCTTTTGCAGCTGCAAGAGAGAGAGAGAGAGGGAGAGAGAGAGAGAGAAAAAAATCGAATTGTATTGATTACAGCCAGCCCTTCCATCTTGGCATAAATGTTTGTTTTCTCTTCCTTCACTTTGGCATTGTGAAGAAGATGAATTCCATTACCTGCGGTACTGTAACCCGTTCGTATCGTTTGCGCGCCAATTCCAGTGGGACGATATTGCTCTTACGCAAGAATTCTGGCGAGTATCCAGCTAATATATTAAAATTGTACATCCATGATGTGGATGCCGCCTTGAAGACATTACACCAAACCAAATGGTATCGTTTATTTACGAGAAATTCCCATGAGTTTGGCTTATGCAACGAATCATTCTTTCGAATGTCCAAGCCAAAGTCGGTGCATTTTTGTGCGAGGCGTTCGGTTCGCTGACGCATACGCTCTTCAATCATTTCCATTTCCTTCGGTGATAATGACCGCGACATTGAGTCGTCGCCACCAAACTGAGTGCCATTCTCAATCTAAACCACCATCGCCAGCAGCAAACAAAATCGAAATCGAAAATGGGAGAATAAAGTTGACATGAAAAAGAAATGTTAATACATTGTCATATTGATAATAGGGTTTTGTTTTTAGTTTGATCGCGATACGTGCGACAACGTTTGCTCGATTATTTTGTGAATCGTGATAACCAGTTGCGTTAAAGTCTAAATGCCGCGATTAAAATAGCGGTTGTACAACGATTTGAGGAAACGTTTTGCTAACACGAAAAATAATTGGGTTTGTGTGACCAAATGTGTTTTGAAACAAACGAACGAACGAACGAACGAAGAAAATTATATCTTTTGGCCTTAAATGTATGAAAACAGACACACACTTAGGTGGTGTTTTCGGGAGACATGTAGTTTTCCACGTAAACACTTCTTCACATCAATTCAATTAGTTCGATAAATATCACATGGGCACAAATTGACTGCGACACCTGATACTTTTTGCATGGTGAACTCTCGCTCTTTCGCTCTATGGACTGAATAGAATTGAGCATTTCATTCGATGTTGTACAACAATTTCCAATTAAGTTGATTTGACATGAAACAACTATTTTAATTATTTGTGATTGCTTCGTGTCTCTTTCTCGCCCTGTCACACAGCCAATAATTGTGCACGCTAATCAATTAATCCAATCGAAATTGTCATTAAACTGGATGGATAAGTGAGAAAATAAAAACATTTCAGTTCTCTTTTTTCTACAGAGTTACAACGGAAATGAGCAGCGAAATTTTTTGCAAAATTTACTGAAAAAAAATATAACAACAACGACGACGTGGGTTATAATCATGACATATTTCGTTCTGCGCTTCAATTTCAAATCCAAATGATATGTATTCAAATTGAATTCAAATGGAGGTTTTTATCATTGCAATTGTTGTATTTAAATATTCGATTTTGTCCGTCTGTCTGTGCGCGTCATGTGTGGAATATAAATCGTGTACATCCATCGAATATGATTTACAAGTGATTTTATATTCCCATTGTGGTATGAAAATATTTTCACAAAAGCCCACGTGTTCTAGTTCATTATTCAAATGTTGATTCTAAGCGGCAAAATCATCGGTCGTGTATGTGTATGTTTGCTGTTGTCATTTTGCTGTTTGTTCGGCCATAATCGTTGAAACCGAATTGACAAAAACAGAATTTATTACACCAATGCCATTAATTTTGGTTGTTTGTATTGTAGAATGTGACATATACACCGAATGACATTCGAAGCCTAAATTTCTCTTTTGCCGATGTGTATATTTTGATTTGTGTATCAACAACTATCCGCCCATTCGGTGTACGCACGTATCGAGAATTCGGAACATTGCCGTTGCTCATAGCAAACGGCAAACAAAGTCATAAATTGACGGTAGTTAAAACCAAACTTATGTATTGATTAATTTGTCGTTCGAAACGGAAGAGCACACACAAGACGATGAAAAAACAGAAGCCAAGCAGAGGGAAATCGAATCAAAATGAAAATTTAACTCTTTGCACCTGGCACTCGCACACCATACACATACCACCATGTATATGCAGACGTAAAATCTGTGGCGCAAATTATGATGCAGTAATAGTTACGTAACGGATTGAGTGTGCTTAACGGTAACTGTAGACTCAAGTGAAACGTATGCACTTTTTCTCCTTTTTTTCCCTTTAAAACCATCGAGTTTTGAATTGCATCGAATGCAACGGTTTCAATTTGACTTCTTAATGACTTGTCATTGATTTGAAATCGAATCAATTTGGAAGTGAGAGAGACACACACGGAGCAGAGGGGACAGCGAGCTGAAATTAAATGTTGAAAAATTGATCGCACGGCGAGATTGCATTGTTCCAATACTTACGTCGGTCCGTTTGATGCGGTAGTAAAGTTGATCGCTGACCAAAAAATAAACGATTAAAATGGGTAGTAGCCCAATGGCAATGATACACAAACTAAATCGCTTTAAGCAGCGACACTGTGTGCGATGGGCTCTCATGAACAAAAATTCCGCTGTTTTTTTTATTTATGTTGAAATGCACTGAAATCACATGAACCTTTTTCCGCTCGAAATGTCGTTTCCACTCCGGATTTTCACGGAGCGAAAAAAAAATTCAATAAACACGTCCTTCAATTCAATTGTTTTTTTTTTCCTCTGTTTCTTCTTTTTCATGCAGTAAAATCTCCAAAATTCACATGCGATTCAGTTTTTTTTTGCACATTAAAAAAACGAATGTTCACTTGATTTTTTTTTCGTGTTGTCGTCCAACGCACAACGCACAATGCAGATTTGTCGAAATAATTGTTTTTTTTTCTTTCTTTTTTGGGTAATTTTCAGCAGGACATTTGAATTAACATTCCAAAACGACGGTTTCCATTTGAATCCCTTTGGAATATTGAATGTCAGCAACAGCGGCACCAGCAACACGGTCATGTGCTCACCGATTTCACAATTGAAATGTTCGCTCGCACTCTCTAAAAATAGTGAATGATTGTCAAATGTTTCGAAAGTTTTTCGCGCTTCGTGTTGAGCACACAGCAAGGGAAAATTGGAAAAAAGGAACGCACATTTGTACACGGTTCGTGTTGTAACGTTGTTAATTTTCTGCTCTGCCACTAAAAGCCGTTCAGCATTTTCACTTTATAAGCCGAACTCTGGCTGAACTAGTGAATAAAAGCGCCTGGCGCGCGCGACACACTCACACACATACTCTGCCTCCCTGTCTTTCTCAGTTTCTCGCGCACACGGCAAACGCTCGGCCCCACACGAAAAGCAGCAAATTAAAGGAACGAATGAAGGAACAACGGCTCACAAATATAGCGGAGGAGCAGAAAAAAAAACAAACTACACAACACTGAAGTAGAAATAAATTATGCAAATTTATTCCGAAGAATTCAAGAACGAAAGCACACACGAGAGTTAAGACTGAGTATCGTTGAGTTGTGTGTGGTGCTTGAAGCGGCGATGTAAATACGAAAAATGATGAACGTACACATTTTGTATGTTTGCACACATATCTTTCGGTGATAATGGGACTGCTTCTATTGGTGCTCTACATAGCTCCTTATTCTTCGTTGTCGTCGTCGACGTGGTTGTCGTTTCGGCTTCCTTGTATGTAAGATTTACACAGTTGACAATCGCATCGGATTGACTCTCACTGCTTGCTCTCTCTCTCTCTCTCTCTCTCCGAACTATAGTGTGGCACAGGAAGACTTTTTCCGGTTCGTAATTAATGGTATCGCACCGAGAACAGGATCCACTTTCGCAAAATGATTATGCATTTTAACAAGCAATGTGCATGTGATTCACTGTTCTGATAACAATATGTATTCTATATATGCAAATAGATACAGATATTATTTTTAGTTACCACATCGTCCATTCAGCTGCATTTTCTATTTTTGTATGTCACACGATCTATTCGTTTGGCTGTCTGTGGGTCTTCTTCTTCTTCTTCTTCTTCTTCTTCTTCTTCTACTTCTACGTATTTGCTCGTTTCCAATTTGCCAGCGATACTCAAGTCATTGCATTGGTCGTTCGTTCGGCTCGTTGGTTGCGACAAGTGTCTACTTCCACACGGAGAAAATGATTCTGATCTATTTTTTGCCCAACGATCTAATCAACTGACACTCTTTTTAATTGCTTACGTCTAATGACTCCAAAAATATGCTCACGTATATCGATCCCCTGTGCATTTGCAGAAGCAGCACCGACAGCACCAGCAACAACAGCAGCAGCAGCAGATGTTGTAGTTGATGTCACACAGAACATTCACAACGAATGTGTGTATAACCATTTCATAGGATAATTTTCCACAAACTGCGACAATTCACCATTGCCGATGTACACATTTTCATCCATGCTCTGCATGTGTTCACTAAACGAACTTGCCAAACTTTCCCATGTTCCTTCCTTATTTCACTTCGTGCCTTTTTATATATAGATGTATTAATGCAATGCGGAAAATTCAATTAAGAAACTGTTCTACGGAGCTATCAAATGTGGAAGCCACTGCTGGAAGAGACACCACAGATGTGTACACACTGCACATGTGGATTTTTCCTTATTTAGTTTTTTTTTCTATCCCAGCGAAAATTGAGTCGGTTTTGATTTGTAATCAGTCGGAAAATGTATTGCTTAATTGAATCTATCGTTTGAATTTCAACTCAAATCACATCGTCAACTTGCAATTCTGCGAAGAAAAAAAACTCTTTTCGTCAAATATTCAGCCGAGGGATTAACTAGCACGTTGAAACTGCAGAATCGAACAAACAATAATAACACACTAAAATGTATTGTGACAATGTTGCATCGAAAAGTCGGTTTCAGCTTTTCTGTGCGTGGGTCTGTGTATGAGTATCGCGCAACTCACTCTCATTTTGATGCCATTCTGAATTCATTCCTCTTTTACGTATACGTTTTTGTGTTGTTGCACATTTTTGGGGAGAAAGTTATTTTTGGCTCAAATCCTATTAATAGCATCTCGCAATTATTTGCAGCGAATTTGATTTAAATTAATTTTGATGAGAAACTTCAAAAACTGACGAGAAAATCTACTCTTCCAATGATTAAATTAAAATCTACTCTTCCTCAATCAATACCACACATTCCTCCATCCATCCAAAAATACCGCACGGGGAAAAGTGTGTGCGATGAATGTAATGTTTTTGATGCGATTTCCATGTTGCTCACGCAATCATTGCGCAAACTCATGCTGTCAACATGATGTTTACTTCATTGCAAAGAATGCTGTATTGTTGTCTTGCTCCGTCGCATTGAAATAGTGCAATCCGAAATCAAGCTGATACCATAGAAAACAGCAACTGTTTACATTTTGCCTTAAAATATATACATGCACATCTTTTTTTCGGAGTTTTTTTTTTGTCCATCCAAATTAATTGCGTATTTTTTATTGATTTTTATCCATGGCAGTAAAAATTTAGTGGAACGAATTCGAGTGTCGGTGTTTGCATCACATCGACCGCAGCTCGTGTACACGCAAAAATTGTATGCATTTCAAACTGAGAATGCGGGCATTGAACCGTTAAAATTGCATGAAATTTGTGAGCTGGACGCTGCCGCCGCCGCCGCCGACGACGACAACGAACAATTGCAGTTTGATGGTGAACAATCCGAAGTGGCTGATGACAAACAAACGGAATTGGTGTTCAACCATGAATGGATTCATCAAAAGGTAGAATCGTGCATTTGAAAATAATAAGAAATACCACAACAAGTTTATATTGAAGCCATATTTTATTCGCAGCAATATACGGTGTACCCGGACAAGGCAGCCATTATCATTATCAAAATGGAATTGAATGACTTTGAAGTGACTTCAAATGGCTGTGATTACGACATCTTTCTCATGTACAAAGTGTTTTTGGAGAGTGGTCTATGGAAAGAATTTCAAACACATATAGCCAACGTCAAAATCGATTCGGATATCTTTCATGACAAACGATTCTTTGTCAGCTTTGACACAAACAACAGTAAGTACAAGCAATTATTTTACAATTTTGAAACAAAAGCCATTAAATTGTTTTAATCATTTTATGAATAACTAACTGAATGCATTTTCTTTGGTATATTTCGTAGTTTTTCGTGATCTGTTGGCTGTTATTGCATCAAGCGAACGCCATATGTTCCGCATAAAGTTTTCTGATGATACGCTGATGTCATGTCTTACCGAATTCTTAACGCGACGCCTTTTGTTTGATAATATTTCCACTGAATTGAGCGTTGATGATGTAAATATTTTCATTTTAAGAACATTACTGATAATTCTTTCAATGGGAAAACAGTTTTTTGTCAAATATTTTATTCAAACCATTTTAAAATCATAAATAATCTTGCAGGATTATCATCAGTTCACGTTGTCGCAAAATTTGGATCGAACGTCATCGATGAGCCATTTCGAGGAAGATCATCAAATGTTCTACTGCCCGCAAGACGGATACTGGTTCAATACGTTAATTCGCATCCGGGACGCTAACGACATTGAAAATGTTGGTTCGAGCGTAGCTTACGATATGAAAGTGTATAATAGGTAAGGTGTAGCAAATTTCAGAATCCTTTGTATCCTCAAAAAATCGAAGAATCTAACGAATTTCCGTTTTGTTTCTTTCAGGGATGAGATAAAGATAAAAAATTTGATTTCAACATTCGGCAATGAATTCGGTCGAAAAATCTCAATCGAACCGGTAAAATGTGCCAACCAATCGTTGCTAGAAATGGAGCTAAGGTACAAATTACGTGACGAACACAACGCCTTGGATGAACTAGCGCGACACATCAAGTACAAATCGAATCAAGTGCAAAAATGTTACAACAAATTTATCGACTCACAATATCGAACCGACATCGCTTGGAGCGATTTAATTGAGAAATCCGAATGAATCATTCATTGGTTTATGCTGCCATTGTAGTTCAACGTTGTTTCTATACCAATTTTCCTTTGTTGTAAACAAAGTAATAAAATATTCAAAATCGAAATAATCAACAAACTCATTCTACTTCTTTTTTTTCTGTTTCGTTCTTAACATTAATATTTTATTGCAACTGTACAAATCATTGTAGCATTGTAGCACATCAACTAACTAATCGTTCATTGTTTCTGTTCTCATTCCTTAACAAAGAGAACCTATAAAATATATTTTAATATTGCAACTTTTGCAAGCGTATAATAAACTTTTATCTCCAGTGTGCAACTGGCTATTGTTTCGAAGAAAAAAACTTAAAATTAATATGTTTCTAGTCGAAAAAGTGACAGGATAATAATGGTCTTCTTTGAAAACGATTCAGCAAAAAAAAAAAAAAATCCCAGCTTATGGGCACACTGTACGTGTTGCTTGTTCATTGTGTTAGAATTCGTATTATTATTGGGTCGTTGTCATTAGTAATGCTGTTTGATTGCTTTACCTCTTTTCCTGTTGCCTTTCCAATTGCGACGGAACATTGAACGAAACCAAACCTATTCTTCGTCATTTCGTGAAATGATTCAATTCTATTCAATAAATTCAAAGAGCAGAAATCGTTGAAAAATACTCTCATTCGCATGAGTGTTGTTTTTATACGATATTTGTGATACGTTCACCAATCGGAATTCGAAAGTTGACTCTCTGCTGCACTATTGAGCTAACGCATTGCTGTGAGCTTGCATTCGTGTACACATTTCGAGTGTCTGTGCGCGTTGCAGGCTTTCACAATGGACAAAAAAGTTCACATTCGTTTGTTTTAGACACAACACGGCAAGCATAGAGCAACATTTGTCGAGCGCATCACAAATATCGAATACAAACATCCGATGAAAACACTCATTCGGATGAAATTAGTTTTTAGCGATCTCTGCAGAAACGATGTCATTTGATTCATTTTATATTCAATTTGATGTTTAGCATTCATATCGCTATCATATTTTTCGGATGGTATTTCATTCAATGTGCCAAACAGATTGTTTTCCTCACTTTCAACACCAGCATCTGCAACATAATCCATGGAATAGTAGTCGGAATTTGGCTTAATCGGTATTTGAATTGGAATTTTTTTTATCGGTTCGATGAATTCGTCTATAATATTAGTCTCAGTAATCAAAGGTATCGGTTCGTATATTTCATTCGCGGTGGAAGTTTTGATCCAGTTTTCGGTGGTTGTTTCTTCTGTTTTCAAAGTGTTTGTCGTTTCTTTTGTGAAATTTTCTGAAATTGTTGATAATATTCTATTTGTTTGTGTCGTCGGTTCTTGGTCTGGTAGTTCTATCGTTGTAGTTGTTGATGGCATTTCCAACGAACTAACATCAGTCTTGGTTGTTGGCATTCCCCAAGTTGTGCTGGGGAAATTTCCATAATCTTGCTCGTAATGTCTAAAAGCTTCAGTTGTCGGCTGTATTTCATTTTTGGTTGAAGAGAAAATCCTTTCGTTTTCTGTTGTTACTACAATCGGCTCGGGTGCTTTTGTTTCATCAGTTGATATTAATGATTTCGACTCTTTAGTTGGTTCTAATGACTGTGAATGTATTTCAACGGTCGTCGCAGTATTTTTAGGTGTACTTGTAATCACTTCACTGAACGTTGTATTTCTTAAATATGGCGATGGATTTAAAGTTCTAACTTTCACTAGTATTTGGGTCATTCTACTCATTATTCTATCTGTATTTTCTATTTGTGATGCACTTATAAATGAAGTCACTGGTTGCCGCGTAGTTTTGAATCTATTTTCTCTCTTTATTTTATTCGCGACCGTAGTTGATGTGAACCACTCATTTGACTCTGTTTGCCATAAAGTTTTTCCACGACGACCTAGCCGCATTCGAGCCATCGTCTCAGGTTTCACCGAAGAAAAATGATTCAAATCGATTTTGGGTTGTTCGGATTTCTGTTTAACATACACTCGCACTAGTTTTCCCTTTTTCCATGCCACAATCGGATACACTCCTTTCAATTGCAATTGTCTATTGCGCATAGCTAGCCTCCATAAATCCAATCCACGGTCATTTGATCTACTTGTGATGTGCTCAGCGTGTCGGCCTGCTTATGAGATGATATAAAGTAAAATAACTTTTATCTAATTTTTTTATTTTCATCTTTTCTTTGGAAACTTGACGTTTTTAAGGAAAATACCACGGAATCGACTTTTGAAATGCCTAATTCTTTTGAAATCCTTAAATATTCAAATAACATTCAATTAAATGACTTAAAAATGAACAGAATAGTTACTATCGATTCAATAGCTGACTCCGTTCAAATTCCATCTCAAATCGCAACTATTCACAAAAAAACATCAATTGAACTGGTCGCTTCTTACCAAAAACCATTCGCAATGAATTTATAACTAGCATCACAACGAAATATTTGGTCACAGTTGAAAAGTAACTGCATTTGATGAACATTTTGGATGAATTTCCGGTTTGAATGATTGAGCACAGATCGATGACTTCTGTTCGAGTTGAGTTGCATTCTAGAACTGGCGCATGTCTAATCTCTTTGCAAATGCAAAGCCATTTGGCAAAAATTACTTCCGACATTTTGGCCGACACTTCCTCCCATGTTATTAAATTCGGTTTTTTTTTTCAATCCATTATTCCATTTGGCATTTTAGTTGGCATAAGCGTATCAGACGCAGACAAATTTATTTGCATATCCGTTTGTTTGTTCGCTCTTTCGATTTCTCTTTCGCTTGTTGCCTGTGTCAACAAAGACGTTTTCATACGTCCCCTTTGCTCCTGGTTTTCAATGTTTGTGTTTCGGCTCGCCTCTTTGACGATTTTTCAGAGTACAAATTAGTCTTAATCGTTACCTGCAGACGCTTATACACACACACACACACACACGCCCAACAAACCATCGAGCAAAAATTTTAGCAATGCAAATATTGAAGTACAACTCATTTGCATACTTTTTTTTCCTTCAAAGTGTTTATTCAATCATTCAAACAAACAAAAACCTTTTCGATTTTATTTGAAGCATAAATTCGAGAACAAACAAACATAAATAAAAAGAAAGGAACGTATCTGAAATGAATGATCATGTTTATATTCATGGAGCAAAAGATGAACGACCAGAACGTATTCAAAATGATAAGGTGACTTTTGTAACATGAAGAGATCATCATTCTTCCGTTCTTGAAATGTTCAACTATCGCTGAGTGCGGACACAAAAATTCCCAGTTCTGCAGAAATAGCGGGGATTCCCCATCATATAAGCATTATTCGATACATGCAACCTGGATTATGTCGTTCTTTTCTCTACGTAAGTTTGCTACTTTTGGCACGATCCCACTATATCTGGTATTTTGGCAGCTTCAATTTTGGTTAAAAGATCATTCTTATGACATTAAAAGATCAAAAATCATACGCATACACAACGGTTTTTTCTTTCTACCTGAGCACCCAATACACACCGAAAATGCCGTCAAAACGGACAGTGCAAATAATGTAGGTGATGAAATGAGCACATTACCCTATCATTATAATTGGTTTTGATAACGATATTTATGTTGTTTCTAGAATTTACAATGGGAGTGACGCATCGACTTTGTTTACTTTTTTTACATTTGCATAGGGGCCGAAATTGATTTTATTTCATAACGACAATGTTCATAGATGAAACTAAATTCTATGCTCTTTTCTATACTTTTCAAATGAAATAAATTATGTTAGCGGCTCTGCATGGAGAGACATGCATGTATTTGCCAAAGCACCTGATGCTACACCTGGAATTGCTTCGAAACCACCCGCAGAATTTGAGCTCAAGATATGCGCTAGAAATCATTTCAAAACCAAAAACTTTCACAAATATTCTGCGTACATATTGCACACGATGAAACACAAAAATCACTTTTAATGCAATGTGTGATGGCTTCGGTCATTCATTTGTTCCGATTGTTAGTTCTGAATTAAAGGCGAAACCGACAACATGTCGATCAAAAGTGCAATTTTCATTTCAACCGCTTTGTTCTGTAGCCATATTTTGGCCGAGGATTCCGGTGACTCGACGCGAAAAGGCAAATTCTTAGATATAACCGGGTATTTATCAGGTACAAAAGTTATTCAACGATCAAATTTAATCTGACGGATTTAATTGATCAAGTGATTTCATGTTAAAACCAAATCAGGATTTACGGACTTTCACGCGGTTCCATTTTGGAAGCACTGGAATGCATTGCTTCAAGTAAATGTGCAGAAAAACAAGCATAAACACAATGGCGTTTACATTCTTCCGTCGTCATATTTCTATTCACCATACGATAATCCTTATGCATATTACTATCCGCCCAATTATCCTATCGGAGGAGGATTAATTCATCCAAACAGTCTTCAACGACCAATGCCACTACTCTTCGATGAATACAAACAGCCAACTACGACTCTGGTTTGATCACATCAAAAATTCACTTTTTTCATTGAAATTGAGGCTGTGAGAATGAAAATGGCAATACAGGAATAAAAATTCTGAAACGCATCAAGAAAAAAAATTCGCAAAAATGAATCATGAGTTCTGAATATGCAAAAATGAAACATGAATTTACATGGGCAGCATAGGAGGTTCATGGTTTACTTTTGCGTATTCAGAACTCATGATTCACTTTTGTGAATTTTTTTTTCTTGGTGCGCTTCAGAATGTTCATTCCTGTATTGCCATTTTCATTCTCACAGCCTCAATTTTTCTTCGCCTTAACTTTTGAATCGATTATAAAAATTGGATTTGATTTTCCAAAGGCTCCGCTTCGGCCGAATCCCATCGATAAGCCCAAGTTTGACATTGACACGAACGATTTGTTGGATGGTTCATTGAAGAAAAGCGATAAACATGTAGGTTTTTTAAATTCAAATGTCCGCGACGATCGCAAAACACACAAACGCGACATCGTCCATAAAACGAAAACTGATGATGAGGTCGTTGCTACAGTTATGGAAATCACCGAGGACACGACAACAGCAACAACAATCAGCCCAACAAGTGAACCTGTTATTGATACAACAACAGAGCCAAGTGAACCACCGACAACGGAAAAGACAGCAGAAAATATTGAAGCGACAACACCGTCGATCCCATCATCAACAACCGAAATGCTCGTCACATCCGTTGTTGATCCCGGATTTCAACCAATAGGATTCTATTACGGTGGCACACCAAATGACAATGCCAACTATATTTACTTTACCACACCTCAACCATTCCAGGAAATTGAATTACCTACAGAAAGTCCCAACGCGATCAACGAACGATACGACTGGGGTAAATTTCGACCAAGCGTTCAATATGAATATCGAAATTATCGCTTCATCCCAGACAATCACTTTGTTCCAGTCATTGGCACAAAGCAAATTGTGCGATAGTTAAAACTTGAGTTTTTAAAATTCGAACAAAATATTAGATATTACTTTTTTCCAAATGTTTCATCCATTTTAATAAAAATGACAGTTTTGACCCTAAACAAGTTACTCTATTCGAATGAATTTTGAGAAATTAATACAATTTGCGGTGTTTTTTTTCATTTTCCGAATTTATTAATTTAAAAAGAATTTTGGTTTTCAAATGCATTGAAATAAATAAATCATACAAAGAGACGAGTAAGTCAATTGAAAACATTAAACTAAACTATTATTATTTGTTAGCCTTACAAACTAGTTTCGGTTCGCTATATCAGTATCGAACTCAATTTTATTTACACGTTATAACTGCTTTTCATTGCGATGAGGGGGAGATATTTGTTGCACTTCAATTTTTAATTTATATAGAAATTTTCTGGTTGTTGGATATATCTCGGCTTTTAGCAACCGAACGAATTTGGTGTCTGTGTACGGGTGTGCTCATCAAGGAGCGGCACGATTCGTCAGACTAGACTGCTCTATTTCTTAAACACATCGCATCCAAATCAGTAGTCATCATCATCGTAACTTTCGTATTCATCGTAAATACCGTCACTGTCATCGTTGTCGTCAACATCTTCATTGTCACCGCCATCATATTTATCGTTTGGAATATTGTCTTGATTTTCACCGTAGTGCAATTTTCGTGTGAATCGGTCGTCACGTTCGTTGGCCGAAGAATGTAGAATATCCGTGAATGAAGTGAAATCATTGCTATTAGCAGTGTTATGAGTATTGTCAACGTCACGGGTCATTTTTGTGCCATAATATTGTTGCAAAAAATCATCATCCTCGTTGATGACTTCGTTGTCGGTGGTGTCGAATGCATAATCGCGGTAGTCTTCCGAGTTGATGAATTTCAATTGTTTCTGTTGCTCTTGCATCCGGTGTGATGATGATCCACGGCGTAAGTTTGATCGGCGACTTGGTTTTTCTTCCTCTTCTTCGCTGCTATAGTCATCACTTTCGGCACTGTTATCATCATTGAATTTGTGAAGATCTTCGATTTGTGTGTCTTTCTTGTCGGCCATCTCTTTCTCTTGTACACTTCGTTTGCTTCGCATCAACACTGTTTTTTCGTTGGATTTCATTGCCACTTTCAATACGGCTTCCTTTTCATTCTTCTTGGCTACGGCCAATGCTTTCTTATGCGATTGAGATTTTCGGTGTTTTCGTCGGTGAATTCGATCTCGCCGTTGATCCACTGGTTTTGGCATACGATGAACAAATTCCATGTCCTTGCGAACCATTGGTTTTGCGCTTATTTGAATCGAAATGCCACGGCTGATATCGGTTTTAGTTAATTTTAATTGAAGTACCGAGCGGGCAACTGGAAAAAATAGAAAAATGTAAAATTAGTACTGACTTTTATATATATATGACTTTTTTGATGATTTTTTTTCTTTCAAATCAAGATATGATTTTGTTTCATATTTAAATCGATCAACTCCAAATTTAATTCGATTTATTTTGGAAATCAGATTTGAATGTTCAAACAAATTAGATTAAGTTTTGTTTTTTTTTTTCAATAAATTAGATTATTACCATTTTTATGAAGAGCTTTATGTTGACTATGCAATGGTTTGCTTTCAGTTGCAATGAACATGGCAGCAGCGATGCACACAAGGAGCGCAATACGTCCAATCATTTTGATTTGATTGTAATGATGTTCGAATTGTTAGAAAAAAAAATGAACACGATGTTCAACGTTGTTTCACAAACTTGATAAAAATTGGTACGTGAGTCAAGTATCACTAGATTGATCTCAAAAAAAAACCGGAGAAAAAATCACTGAGTTAGCAAAAAAGTAGACAAGTTGTTCAAGAGTGCTTGAGAGACGGAGCTCTTTACTGTTTGAAATCTCTGTATCGACTGTTGAGTGTCTGCTATGGATCACGGTCTTAAATTTAAATCAAAATAAACAAACATCCAGATTGTGATGATTGTCTTGTTCTCCCACCACCTCTCTTCCACTGCACCAATTCGCAAATCAGGATAGAAACAAAAAAAAAAACGCTGCGACACGGCAAAATCTCATTTTCCTATGCTGATATCATTGATGAAAAATTCCCACGTATATTAGCACTGGGTATCGGTATTCTTATTCCAACGACAGCCTCTCGATAATCGCCAAGATCTATTACAGTACTGTGGGAAATTCCAATGCAAATTATGTCATTTTCCTTTTGTTCGACGGTCCTTGTGCAAGGAGGCAAAAGGTGCGAGCACGTATGTACGTGCAAATGGTTAATACCTTCGTTAAGTGATGCTGCAGCGTGTGCTGCCCAGGTATAAATGAGTCATAAAACATTGTTGCCAGTTTTGGTACCCCCAGAACAATGAGAATAAATGTTGCTACTTTTTGAAATCACTGAGCATACTTTACCGTGCAATGGATTTTCCTTTGTTTGCTTCATATCGAAAGAAACATTTTATGACCGCTATTCTAAGTTAGAATTTGCTGAAAAGCGATATCAGTTGCCGATTCCATCTTTATTTAGTTGCCTTAATTACTCTTTTTTCCCACTCAGCTTACTTTGCATTGGACACTGGGACGTGTGGTAAAGTTGATCCACTCATGCATAAAGTTCAATTTTGATGTGCCGTTTTTTATCCGGGAATTTTTGACACGCATTTGTAATTCAATTTATTCGGCCCAAGTAAATGCATCTCGTTTAAACGAACCCTTGAACCAATCAACATACACGTTGCTCTTTTGATCCGTTTTTCTTTATTTTATTTTATTCATCCCATCAAAACGGGAAAACAATAACAACAACAAAAAAAATTACTTGGCTTTTATTTGTAGATCTGTATGAAATTGGTTTATACACCAAACATACTGGATATTTGTAGAAAAAATTAACAATTATTTGTGTAAACAACAGGTACCAAATAATAAGCTCTGGTTTCGTATATTCGCTATTTTTTTTTTAACAGTGTTACTTTCGTAGTTTCAGGTGGATTTGTTCGGTGTTTGAATTTAATCGTATGCGATAAACGCATGGACTTTATCGGAGTTTGGAATGTTTGCTCGACCATTGAGCTCGACGAGCTCCAATATCACAATAATCTCTTGGACATTGGCACCCAAAGCGGTAACCAGTTGATAGGCAGCATTCAATGTTCCACCAGTGGCCAATAAATCATCGACTAAAATCAAAACAGGGGATTCAGTAAAATGGAATGGGTGAAAAATATTGCATTGAAAATATAACAAACCTATAATCACATTTTGACCGGTGCGAACGCTATTCTCTTGAATTTCAAGTATACCCGATCCATATTCCAGTGTGTATTCGTATGAACGACACTTGCCGGGTAGTTTCCCTTTCTTTCGGATCGGCACAAACGGAATGCCTAGAAATAATTCAAATACGTGACTAAATCAATTTTTTTCACTTAAATAATTGCATGAATGATGCTAAATGATTGCCGTATACCCAGTTGTGCCGCCATTGAAAAGCCAAAGAGAAAACCGCGTGCATCCAAACCAACAATTGCATCAATTTTCACCGCGGCTTTCTTGACTCGATCAATCAACAGGTCTTGAATCGCAGTACACACACGCCCATCCAAAAGTGCTGTAAATATGTCCCTTCAATGAGAAATCAAATCAATTGAAATATTTTGAATAAACAAAACTTATCACACAAAACCTACCTGAATACGATTCCTTCTTTTGGGAAATCACGAAATTCGCCGATATGGTCTTTGATTAATTGCAACTTTGACTGTTCATTCATCGTTTTTATATCACTCATTTTTTACTATTTATCTGTTTTGAAATGTATTCGAATTCACGTTGATTTTATGGTTAACTCTGCCACCTTTGGAATGTGTGTTTCGCCAGTCCTACTCCATGTGATTAGGAAAAATTATTTTCAGTTACAGTTTTATTGATAAGTAATCAATGTCAAGTTTGAACAAAGTCACATTTATTAATTATTGAGACATCTTCGTGATACTATAATTCAAATCTAATCAAAGAAATGGCGTAATAAAATAGTATTAGTAAATAGTGTACAATGGAAATGCTAAGTACAGCGCTTGATATGTCAAAAATGTACTTAACACACACTGACGATTGGTTATCATCGACGGAATAACCAACTTCATGGTGAATGGCAAAAGCGTGCTCACGTTTTTTTTTTCGTTCATTTATTGCCGATATACCAGTCGTTTATTTATCAAATTGTGTGCGTGATAGCAGCTGCAGGCAGGCAATTGAATTGATTTCGTTGCTTTAGTTAAAACAAATTGATTAATTCTCTATTAAAAATGGCATCAACCGAATCCAATCCCGAATTTTTGCTTGCTGTCGTGCATGAGTTTTTGTTGAGAAAAGACCGGAATTTAGCCAGTGTATTCAAATCGAAATGCAACTCGGTAAGTGTGATTCGGCCACACGGAATTTTTTTTTTGTTGGTCACTGTTGATACACGTGGTTTGAAGTGCTACAGTTTTTGTTGCATCCTGTGTTGTTCGATTGATTTTAACTCGGAACTGATTGTTTTTTTAAATTAATTGCAGCCTTTATTGCCGAAAGATTCGCCCAAACTTGAAGATATTATCACATTTTATGCAAAAAGTTCAAATAAAATACCGAAAATCAAAGCACCATCGTCGGGTTCGGATGATAGCAGTTCAGAAGATGAGAAACCAGCACATAAAGCAGCCGCTACTAAATCACCCGCTAAGGCAACACCAGCTAAAGCCGTAGCAAAGAAAGAAAGCAGCTCTGAAGACAGTTCCGATGATAGTTCAGACGACGAGAAACCAGCTCAAAAAACACCAGCCAAACCAGCTGCAAAAGTAACACCTGCTAAAGTGGTTGCCAAAAAAGAGAGTAGCAGCTCGGAAGAGAGCAGTTCGGATGAGGATAAAAAGCCTGCACCAAAAGCAATGCCATCCAAACCAGCTGCAAAAGCAACACCTGCTAAAGTGGTTGCAAAAAAAGAGAGTAGCTCAGAGGAGAGCAGTTCGGAAGATGAGAAACCGAAGGCAAAGGCTCCACCAGCCAAAGTGGTCACACCGGTGAAAACTGTAAAAAAAGAATCATCATCGGAAGACAGCAGCTCAGATGATGAAAAACCAGCCAAACCAACACCAGCTAAGGCTCCGGCAGCCAAACCTGCTGTTGCTAAGATACCGGTAAAGAAAGAATCGAGCTCAGACTCGGACAGCGACTCTGACGATGAACAACCAGCGAAGAAGACGCCAGTCGCCGCTAAACCAACATCGGTCAGAGCAAAGAAAGAATCACCAAGCAGCGACTCTGATTCATCAGAAGATGAAAAACCAAAAGCAAACGCAGCTAAAGCCCAACCACCAAAGGTAATTAGTATGAATTTTTCAAATTCTTTTAAAAACAATGAATTTGTGATAGTTGTACCCAACGAATAATACTCAGTGCGGTGTACTTTTAAAAGAGAAAACAATACGAATTTGCTTTGGATGTAAAATGAAAAATTTAAAAAAAAAATCTTAATTTTAACTCGATTTTCAGGCTGCAGCAAAGAAAGAGAGCTCAGACAGCGAAAGTGACAGTGATTCAGATGAGGAACCAGCTAAAAAGACTGCAGTAGCTGCCAAGCCAGCAGCTAAAGCTACACCACAAAAGAAACAAGAATCATCCGATGACAGTAGCGATTCCTCGGAGGATGAAAAAAAAGCGGCTAAACCAGCAGCAAAGCCCGCTGTTGCAGCAAAGGTACACATTTGTGCATTAAACCACCATTTTTTTTTATATATATAGAAGTGTATTCACCAATTATATCAACCAAATCTAGTGGAAAATTTCATTTCAAATATTGACATTGACAGCTGAAAAAATTGCGTATTTTTCTTTTACGAAACTAATCTTTTTTTTTTCTCAAATCAACAGCCGTCTGCTAAAGCCAAGAAAGAGAGCTCAAGTTCAAGTGACGACTCTGACAGCGAAGAAGAGAAGAAGCCAGCTCCAAAAGCAACACCTGTTGCTAAGCCAGCTGCCAAAACGGTCGCCAAGAAGGAGTCGAGCTCTGATTCAGATAGCGACAGTGACTCAGAAGATGACACCGTAAAAAAGGCATTGCAAACGATCGCCCCAAAGAAAGTGGCCACCAAATCGTCATCGTCTGAAGACAGTAGTTCGGAAGAAGAGGCGCCAAAGAAAAAGGCACCGGCTACACCAGCACAAAAAGTTGCTCCAAAAGTAGCAAAGAAAAAAAGTTCCTCAGACTCGAGTGATGACAGTGACGATGAGCCAGCACAGAAAAAACCAGCAGCCAAAGCACCATTGACCAACGGAAAGGCAAAGGTTGCGAATGGCAAATCATCTTCTTCTGATAGCAGCGATTCGGAAGACGAGGCTCCGGCTAAGAAGCCAAAACTAGCAAACCAATCTCTGAACAAATCAGCGGCTAAAAAGAAAGATTCATCTTCATCTGAGTCGAGTGACAGTGATGATAGCAACGCAAAACCAGTGACGAAAACAACGACTAAATTGGGACCAACCCAAACTAGCACTCCAAACACATTAAAGTACGGTAATTTCGTATCGGGTGGTATCATGCAACCAACCGTCAAAATTCCAACTGAACAAAAACCAACAAAAGCCGAATCATCGAGCGAAGATTCATCGGACAGTGATGAAGAAGAGGAAAAGAAACCAGTCGTACAAAATAGCATTACCCCGGCCGGTGGTAAGAAACGAAAATTCTCAGCATCTGAAGAAACCGAGACACCAGTCTCCAAAAAGGCCAACAATACCAATGGATCATTCAACAAAAGTTCCAACTCAAAACCAAACACACCATTCAGACGAGTCAAAGATGAAGAGATCGAAGTTGACACACGTTTATCAAACAATTCGTTTGATGCAAAGGTAAGTGAAGATCGAACGGAATTTTAGAAGAAGAATTGAGAAAAAAAAATAATTAATTTGAATTTAAATTTGTCTTTATGTTTACAGAAAGGAGCAAAGGGATCGTGGGGTGAAAAAGCCAATGACATTTTAAAACATACACGTGGTAAATCATTCAGACACGAGAAAACAAAGAAGAAGCGTGGCAATTACAAGGGCGGTGCCATCGATTCCGTTGGTGTACACTCCATCAAATTCGAAGATTAACTTTAAAGAGTGGACAAAATGAATTCAATGTATTAATACATAACACTTGCTCTATCAATCGATTTACAATTATAAATACCGATATTTTTTGTTTGATTTCATCATTTCGATGAAATCATGAATGTTTAAGCTTAGGTTGAAATGAATTTTTACCAATTATTTGAGAATGATGAGAAACTTTATTGCGACATTTTAATACATTGTAAGAATTTCATTTTTATTTCTGTCTTTACATTTAACACAGAAAATAGTAATTAGATTAAGCAGATTTATTTTAAAATACATTTTTATCACTACTTTATAAATTAAATTGATAACACTGAATCAATGTTATAAATGGAGCCAGAGAATATGGCTAATGCATTCTCTTTTTTTTTATAAACATAGATCATCATTCATGACTTGTTGTTCAATCAAAATAAGCCATAAATAAAAACGCGATAATAATAAGACAATTTTTTGTTTATTTTGAATGAACAAAACGGTTTCAGCATTGTTACCGATCGTTCACAATTTGGCGAAATGAGTACAATGATCGATGTGAATGTACATTTATTGAATAATAAAAAAAAGAAGAAAATACTGTAATGATGAAGCTTCAACACAGCAAATCGTCGGCTTGTTATTCATTGAACAATTGATATGATCTAGCTTGGTTGGCTTTGAAAGTGGCGATCGATGAGGGGCATCTTCAATTTTTCTTCTTCTTTTTCTCTTCACACAAGAGTCGAGATGTTTCTAAGAATGGTAGCTTCATTGCCGTTGGCCATACGAGACAATAGAGCAGAGATGCTCTTAACCGAAATCTATAGATCTTCAAGTGTTTATGAATGAAGTGAGAATTGGAGAGAGAATAAAAAAACACGAACTATTCATAGTGAAAGAAAAGAAAAGGGTCACTTTCTGACAATAATGATGTCCGATATAAAATAATCTTGTTCACATCAAAAATCTGATAGATTTTATTTTAAATTTCGTTAGACCTATTAAACGTTTATTATTGTTGGATTCTGGTTCTCTTTCTATTCTCGCGAGAGCGCGTCAAATATTTACACATTGTGTGTCCAACCAATGAATGTATAATAATGTTATGCGCGATACATATATAAATATTCATAGCTGTTCAAAGAATCGAAATACAAAATGTTGTGGCTGCTTGTTTGTGGCACGGCTGTGTCGTTGCTGTACAAATGTGAATGAAAAAGCCACATAGTTGTTTTGGATGTGTGTCGACCGTGAAAGAAAGACAAGAGGTGAATATCGATTCGTATGTTGGCTGATAGCTTTGCTGTGACTTCACCCAACAAAAGACTCTCTCAACGACGAACGAACAGCAATAGCAACAGCAGCAGCAGCAGCAACAACAACAACGACGAGAAAAATATGTAATAATAAATAGTTTGGATAACAACGAAACGAAGACGAACACACGGCAGAAAGAAAGAAAGAAGCAAACAAGAAAACAACAACAACGACCACGACGATGAAATAAACCAACTAACTAAGAGCAACACATATAATTCGCGGCACATTCATTCGTTGCTCCGCCATCGTGTGGTTAAGTTAGTCCGTTGCGAGCGATTCAATCGCCAATTCCATGATATCCGTGTAAGTTGTTGTGGTGGTTTGATCTCGTGAATTTCGTTGCCTTTTTTTCTGCTTCTATGAGAATAACAAACGTTTCCGTGTGCGCGCACAAAGCAGAAGATCGAGAGAGAGAAAGAGAAAAATATCAGAAACTGGTATGCAATGTTCAAGAAGAGTTAAATTCTTTTCTCGAATCAAATGTGATCGAATGCAGTGATCAGTAATTGATTTGTTTTTGTGAGAAAAATCGTGCTAGCTTTGCTTGTGGTGTGGTTTTGGTGATACAAGAGCTCAAGCGTATAACGATGAAATCTTATTCGGTTTGCGTAATTGGATTTCGAGTGTAGAAAATTTCGATTATTCAGTGTTTTGTGTTTGGTGTATTCAAAATAATGCACTTGGAATATTGGCACATATTTTGACATCGGAACCCTTACTCAACAGACACAGCTCTGAAGACGACCAAAAAAATATTGTTTGTAAAACGAAAAATACATGGGTCAAAAATAAAATGCATATGCACTCATACGTATGTAGAAAAAAATACAACGAATAACGGCATATTTTATCAACGTAACCCATTTGTGTGTAGGAAAGAAAAATGTCGAAATATGCCCGGAACAAAGAATACAAAACTGTTTACATTGAGTGTGTGTGTGTGTGTGTGAGAGAGAGAGAGAGAGAGAGAGAGAGAGAGTAAATTTAGTTGTAGCCAGAGGGAGAAGGCAGAACTTTGAGTTGGATCATGCAATGCGATATATAAACTTGCGATACACTTACCATATTCTGACAAAATTCGCGATACATGTATACACAAAACATTCCCGACTTCATATCATAAACGGATATGTGGTAAATTGTACGTAATAGCTGGTAGTACTGTAGTTGCTCTTTGGTGTTGTAGTGCAGCAAGCTGTTCAACAATATTGTTTTTCTCTCTGTTAAATGTGTCCAAAATGAAATTTAAATGAAGTGTTCAAAGTGGACATTGTCACGGTTTCGAATGTATAAATTGTAATGTGATCCCCGTGTGTCGGTTTGTCAGTCCACCACAAAGCACATGAAATGTTCAATTGCACCTACGTGTAACTATCTTTTGTCGACTCTCTGTGGCACGTTCGGTTTAATATATCTGCATCTCGTTTTAGTGGAAAAGTCAAACCGCATATTAGAGACTGAATGACTGCGTGAAAGACCCAAAATCTCATTCAAAATTGGTGGCTTATATCGGTTGTTATGTGCGTGTTTGTATTCATTTTTTTCGGTGACAAAGAAAACGTGTTTTCAATATTCTGGTTGTCGGTCAAACCGTTTTCGAGTCATTTCCATGTTTATTTCTGCGCACCGTTTGATTTTGTATTTCACTTTTACTCGGTTGGTCATCATGAGCCACGATGGAATCATTCGAAAATGTATGCATAAGTTTTACCAAAATAATAAGAAACGAACATTGTTTACTTGACAATAAGATTACTCTTCATTCTGGAATCGTTCAAACATTTCCATGCTTGATGCCTTCAATTGCATTACAGCAAAAAAACGAAAGAAAAAAATCAATTTCGAAAATGTGTACATTTGTTTGTTTTTTTCTCCTTTTTCTTCAAGATAATGCTGCATTGTTCACATACAAAAGATCATTATTTAATGTTAGTTAGTTTCGACAAAAAAAAATCAAATCACGCGCCAAGCAACCAATGATGAGCCTGTCATAATTTACCGTTGTATTCTCTCGCCGATTTCCTATTTATAAATAATGATTTCAGATGCTGAAGCAGCGAAAGATTAAGAAGAAAAAACAACACACACACACAATCTCATACCAACACATCGACCGTAATATTATGTGTTTGTTGCTATTTTGTGTCTTCTACCTCGTTGAAACAATACATTGTGGGATTTTGCATCATTCGCACTCTTTCAGCATCTATCGTCGCAATTCATTCACATGCGCGTTGCTTTTGATTCTGTGCTTTTTCTCTCTTTTCATACCATTTTTTCTGTGTGTCCAAACAAAACAATGGACCAATAAAATGGTTTTTCAAATGAGCAGAGCATTAAATTTTATGCACACTTGCCACAAAAAAAATGAAAATAAGAACAAAAACAGCCAATATTTCGGGGTATTTATTGCTTGAATTTAGTACATCGACATCGTCTTCGTTGTTGTTGTTGTTGTTGTTGTTATTAGCATCACCAATGTGTGTGCTGGATATGAATGTGTAAAGAAGAACGAGCGACAGATACGACATATAAACGTAGCACCGATATTATCATTATTATTTACAAAGAATGCAACACAAAACCCATTCGTCGTCATTCTTGTTTCAGCTAACACGTTTTGTTGTGTTTTTTTTCTTTCCTTCTTCTTCTTCTTCGCTGTATTTTTAATTTCTACTCGGTTTGCTTTCGATCCACAATCGTCTTATGCCACAATATCAACACACCAAGAATCAAACCCAAACCCATTGGTAATCGTGAGTACAATTTGCTCGTGTTCTTTGCTTCTGGCTCTGTGGTGTGTGTTTGTGTATTGGCTGGAAAGTATTTCTGTGCAATCGGCAGCGCAGCTCCGTTTTGTGAAAGGTTTCTCAATGGGTCACAATAAAAACAGAAAAAAAACAGCGCGCGGAGCAACAAAAACCAAATATGCGGAGAAAGAGAGAGAGAGAAAAAAAATGCATGATGAATGCGGCATTAAGAAAATCGAAAATACTCCTGGTTTCATATAGAAAATATGGATTCAGGATGCCAAGAAGAATGTGTAGCGATGGCGTCGATAAAAACAATGTGAGCACGAACCCAAGCGCACATCGAATGTCCAAGGAGAATTTACAATTTGATTGGAGAGTGCAAATAAAACATAAATCAGAGCAATAGCACTTCGATTAGCCAAGTCTATGTACGAGAAATTGGACCGTTGGTTCGTTCACTTGGCAATGGTCAGCAAGAAAAATATGGTGTCGGTGTGCATGGTGCGATAGTGTAATAATAGCCAAGTGCTCAGTCTCCGGTTTCATTTCATGCAATTCGTGCGATTGCGATTTCAGATTTATTTATGCCAACCTCATTCATTCGGTCCGCAACTCTATGTGTGTACGTATGTGTAGAATCGACGATTATTTGCGGAATGCTCTCCTTTAATAAATTCTGTTGATTTATTTTCACACGATCATCGAGCGAATTGGCTGACACCTCACAAATATGGTATTCGTTTTGAGGAACACACCTCGGTTTCTCACACATATAGAAATTCCTTGCGGCTTCGCTTGAAATACCGACATATTCGAGATGAAAATTTTGTTCATGCATTCTAACCAATCGAAGAAGAAGGAGGAAAAGATCGAGAATGAGTTTTTTTTCGTCGATGCTTTAACCCATTGAAAATTGGAAGCAACCATATTGTATCGAGCGAGAATATTCTATAATCCCATTCATGCATAATTGTTGCTTCATTTTTTTCTCTTCTGAGACACAAAACCACGAAAAATTTAAATTCATATACGAAAAGAAAACCCAAATTTAAATAATAAATCAAATGAGTTCTTTGTGCACGCAATCGACACACACACACACACGACGCCGTCCATATACAGAACGATGGCAGAAAGGTCGACACGCAATACAAATTTGACATGAATTTTCTTCTTTTCACAAGAATAGCCGAACTTTTTTCAGCAAGAAAAAGTGTGATTTCAAAGCGGAAACGTTTACGGTGCGCTATAAAGTAATCGAAAGAATGGAATGGAACATTTGTGATTGTTGATTGCGTCCGAACAATGGACGCATTTACCACCATTCTCTACTACAATCCAAATTTCGCATTTTCTTTTTCGGCAAAGTGTGTTGAATTTTTTTTAAGACCGTTTGTGGTGATGATGATGTGAAGGGGTCTTTCGACTTTTCGGCTTATTTGTTTACATTTGAATTTGGTACAACTGTCCGGATCTGACAGATTCGAAGTTGTCGAAATTTATGAGCCACATAAATACCGTCAACAACAGCAGCCAAACAATCAAAGCAGTGCAGCGACGGCATTATGCAATGCCATTGTATAATTTCATAGTTTAATTCGTATAATTATGCTGCTTTGGGTCATTCTCTCTAACAATTTGTTGAAGAAAAAAATCAATTGGCGAAAAAAAGCCAAACTCATTAAGCGAAAGGAAATTGTGTGCTTACTGGTGATGGTGGCGAAAAGTGCAGAAATAGCCCGAACGAAAGGACAATAAACCGTGAAGACAATGTGTCTTTTTTGCGTTTCATCAAAAACAATTAAATACAATAGCCATCAGCGAGAGACACGCACACATACAAAGAGAGGGAGAGGGAGAGAGAGAGAGAGAGAGAGAGAGAGAGAGAGAGAGACGCGATGACAATGATGGTGATAAAACCACAAAAAGGCGTAATTTCAACTGCACACACACCGAAAATAATTATGATTAGCTCGCAACACACGTAGAGAAAGAGAGAGAGAGAGAGACCGTACACAAGAAATGCAATCCGCACTACGCCAAAACATCCAAACAAATGAACAGTTTTATAAGTTTCCCTATTTTCATTTGAGCGCGTATATTTTTTTTAATTTTTATTTCATCTTTCCACAATTTAGTGTTATTATTTTCATTGGATTTTTTGTTTGTTTTATGTTTCATTTGTTGTTAAAATAATAATTTCATAAAGTATATAAGACTTCATTTCATTTCATGTTTTTTTTGTCTATTTCTTTCGTTTGATGGTGTCTGTTAAAGCCGCCGCTTCCATTTCACTCGGTTTATGTACTCAACTATGGAGCGAATGAAGAATGATTGCAGTGGCATTTCTATCGTATTCAAGCGACTGCAGTGACACGTTCAACGGGAAACCAAAATGAACTTTTTTTCTCATGCCAAAATGCCAAGGAAAAAAATGGGGGCTTGATGCTCATAAATTGTAGCATGTATTCGTTCTGTTTCTTGTTCCAATGAGTATTCCCAAGGGTTTCGTGTTTGAAAATCATTTACATTTCATCTGTGTAATTACGACGACTTTACCAAGTGCTGTGTTGTGAAAATAGTGCAACTACTCTTTGATTCGCTCTGTCTCTGGGTCTCTCGCTCTCTCTCTGTCTCACACGGCAAAATTAAAACCACATCAAGTTGCTCGATCCAAAATATAGCAATCCCGTTTAGTCGCTCGATGAATAGAAAACTAAAACCGCGGCTCAACTCTCGTTTTGCTTTATATTCTGGATGTTTTTCTTTCTGCTTCTTCTCTTGTGAGAAGAAACAGCCTGAAAATGACTATAATTTGATTTGATTGGAAAGTTCGAAAATGGAATTGAATTGAATTTTTGCCAGCATGTTTTCTACGTTTTTGAAAATGAAATCGAAGAAAATAAAATTAAATGTTGTTTACCTTCTGAAAATGGTACGGTCGTGACTTAACTCAGAAGAGAAAAATAAGAGATCTTTTTGGCATAGGCTGAAACCATATTTTTGCTCTCTATAAATGCTTTCGATAACGTATTCGTTTTTGGTCAAATCGAAATGTGAAATAAAAGTTACATGTGCTCTAGTAACACCGAAACCACGACAAGAAATATTATTCAATCGTCTGGGGGAATTAAATACTAAAATCTGTGTCAAACACTCTATTTGCAGTAAATTTTCTGCAACGATTTTAATGCAAACACCACGATTATCAGATTCAAATGTTGTAGCGAACGAGGAAATCAAATCAAAAAGTTTGCCAATCATATCGTGTCGATAACATCGAATTAATTGTCTACACAGCGTTGGCCGGGGAGGAAGGAACAACAACAATAGACACACGCCAAACGTTGCCCGAAGCGTTGATAAAAGCGCAATACAAAAGACACAGAGTGCACACAATTGCTCAAACATGGGGACAAAGATCGAATATGTGGATTCAAATCATTTGCATGCAACGAATTATATACGAAACTCAAAAGCGATAGCGGTTCTATGGGCTATATTCACAATCTGCTACGCGATCATAAGTGCGGTGGCATTTTTCACACCAGGTAATTATTTTTACGATGAATGTTGCATTTCATTTTCACTTTCACACCGCCGCCGACGCCGCCGCCAACCGAAAAATCAACGAAAGGAAAATGAGGTGAGAAATCTTTCACCAATCCAACAATTTGGTTCCAACAATTACATGGCATGATTTTTCGCGTAGCGTGACGTAGCGTGGCGTGGCTGGCTGAAGCTAATCAATTCGATTTTTCGTCTTTGAAATTAGCTATTCAGAAAATTAAACCGACTGTCGTCGAATTGAATGACCGTTTATTCGGCTTTTGTCACACAATCGTCTGAGATTTTCGTTTTTCTTTTTTCTCTCGGTTCCGTTTCGTTCGATTTGAATTTAGAATGGGTCGGTGATTTAGATTCAGAGAATGCAGGCCGTTTAGGCTTGTGGCAAGTGTGTCAACGTGACGAAACATCGGATAATTGCCAAAAACAGTTGAGCGATTTTCTATCGATTCCATCGATACCGTTTCAGGTAATTGGTTTTGACTCATTGAAATTTGGCATTTTGCTGTTTTTGTTACACACGCAAACTTTTACTTTTTTTTCACTTCAAAATGGCAACAACAAAAATTTAAATGTTTGTGGCATCTTTATTTTTTCTTCCTCATGCTTTTATGAATGAAGCGTATAATTTAATTTATTGTGTGAAATTTTCTCTTTTTTCCGTTTTCGATTGATTTGAATGTAAATTAGGTGGCGACTGCATTCGTTGGACTCTCGGTTATCACAGCTGTGCTCACCATTTTATTCCTTGTTTTCTTATTTTTCCTCAAATCAACGACCGTCTTCCACATTTGCGGTTGGATGCAAATTTTATCAGGTAATTGAGCTGAAAATCAGATCGATTTGTTGCTTTTATCTCTTTATTTATTTTTTCTATTACGAGCATCTCTTGAAACCGTTTTTGTTTCATCAAATGAAATGGAGATATTTACACAAGAAATTTCACCCATCACACATTTTCGAATATTAAAAACTGAGATGTGTGTGTGTGTGTTTTTTTTTGCATCATGCTCTCATTCATATGTAAATGATTATACGGTTGAACTGGATAATAAAATAAATAAAACCATAGTGGCATTTGTTTCGAGCGACGAAAATAATGTAGCATGACCAGAAGAAAAGCAATTCATTTTACAGCGATCGAAAGCATCTACGCAAGATTCTTGGTACGATCGCTGTATCATGACAGACGGCGGTTTCAATTGAACCAGAAGAGAATGTGCACAATATTGTGTCGCATGTTGCTGCTGCTGAGCATGATACGTGCGATAAAGGATTAGAAATTCGCATTTATTATACAGTCTAATGGATGGTTGTGATCAAAAACATCGATTGCTCATTACCTGTTCACCCATTTTATACAAGATTTATGTGGAACAATTACAAGCGTTGAAGGTTTGAGCAAAGTGAAAATGTTTCGAACCCAATACGTGGCATACCAATTGAATAAACACTCACTCGCGCGCACACACACACACACACCTAACTTATGGTCATCATAAAAATTGAGATCAGTTTCTTTGATGCAGTTTACATTGAAAATAAGACTTTGCCAAATGCCATCCATCCACAAGACCGCTTTGAACGTGCACTTCACCGGAACAAAATCGTCGTCATACTACACGAATCGACTTAGACCTCAGAGTTGATTTCCACTTAATAAAAACGTTTCTATGTTTAAAAACCGGTTCGCAATTGAATGTTATAGACCATTGAAAATAGAATCGCTAGAAGAACGACAACATGATGTACGTACGTACGTACGTACGTAGAAACCGTGTATATGAAGAAAAAGTGCGATGCAAAATTGGTTTGAAAACATAGGACAATGAGACGAGTTCCGTTGCTGCAATTGCTCCCTCCGTACATGCACGCGGATGGAGTTGATTGTGTGTTGGTAGGTAAAAAAGCGACATGAAAAATGTGCGTTGTGCTTTTTATTCCGGCTCGGTCTCTTTGCCGTTTCTCCTTCTATGCAAACAGAGAATAATTTTTAATGGAGAAATGAAAGAAAAACACACACACACACGGCACAATCATTTTTGCCAAATGAATTAATTTTTTTTTTGCTGGTGTGACGCACAAACGACCGAGTGCAAACTAGAGGCTATCATTTCTTGTTTTCCATTTTCAATTCATTGGAATAAAGTTTCCATGTGACTGCACACCCTGCATTTGAAAAAGAAAAAAAGAATCAAGACCAATTTGAATGCAAAAATTTGTTTAAATTCCATCAAAGAATAAATTTATGTAGGGTAATGTCTCTATGAGTGGGCCGCCTAAGCACATACATTCTGTAGATATACTGTGGACTAGAAAAGTTAAGGTTTATATATACCATTGTTTAGCTTATCTGACTAGCCAACTGGCCATGGTATCAGATCTTCAATATATTTGACAAAAAAAATTTTTTTGCCAGTCGGCGAAAAACCTTGTTTTTTGGAAAAAATTTTTTTGCATCCATGAGTGGGCCACCTCATAAAAATCCCAAAAAATGTCAAAAAATCAAGTAAATGTCATAGAATATAAATGTTTATTGGATATTTATCGAATTTCTAAAGTTTTAATGTATAGTTTGGGCGTCTGAAGCATCGAAATCCACGTCTTTTGGAAGTCATATTATTTACAGGTGAATTAGATTGTAGTCATATTTTCGTCATTCGGATGAACGGAAATTTTACACTAATTGCATTTTATGACGTATTTGCGGTTTAATAAAGTCAACACTACACTATACACGGGTTTTCGATCTAAATTTGATTGTTTCGGGGAAGAAAATAATGGGTGGCCCACTCATTAAATTTAAAGCCATTTTGATTGACTCACTAAAAAAAATGTTAACATCAAAATTGCTTCGAAATAATTTTAAATGATCGATATCATGGCCTTGGCCAACCAAAAAAAACAAAACTCTACTTAAAAAATACGATTTTCAAACTTGTTTTGGGCTTCGGCAAAATTCACTTTCTTATAAAAATGATTTTTTTTCGACTAATTTTTTTAACAATGGTTTTTTGCACTCAAAAAAACTTGCGATATATTCGAGAATTGCTATTTAAAGGTTTTTTGATAAGGCGAAACTGTTAAAAATACTTGTTTGCCATTTCGACTTTGATTTCATGGAAATCTGTTGGGTGGCCCACTCATGGAGACGGCCCACTCATAGAGACATTACCCTATATGAAATGGAGAGAGAGAGAAAAAAACACGTTCACGCTGGTTAACGTGTGAAGTGAAGCATTGTGTGTGCTTGAGATCTCGTTATGATTTCATTTGGTCGAATTAAAGAGTGAATTGAGGAAAGAATAAAAACAAATTATATCGTATCGTCAAAAACAAAAAAAACCGAACGCAATGGCGGATATCGAAAAAAGTACACATCATTATAAGTCGATTAGCCGATGGTTTCTTTTATTATTTCCCCCAAGACTTATTTATCATCTCAAGACCAAGACAATACCGAAAATGTTATGTGAGAAAAAAACCGAGTAAACTATCGAAAGTTAATGGTAGCGCTTAAATGGTTTTCAATTAATTATCTTGAGTCTCTCATAACAATGCGATTATAATCGATTTCCAGCTGTTTTTCTCCCGATTCCGTGGTCCAATACCGTTCCGTTTGATTCGGTTCCTTAGGAAAAACTGTCTGAGTGTCTGCTTTAGTGTCTGCTTTAGTATGTGTGTGTGTGTGTGCGGCCAATAAAAACATCGAACAGATTAATTGCCGCAACTTATGAATTTGTCTCAATAATTACATGCATCATTTGAAAAACGACACACGACCACAACCGAAGACAATTCCAAAGATATTAACTGCTTCGCAACATTGTCCAAATCCGATTCCACTTGATTAGATTGCCATTTGTGAACTGTTTTCCATATCACCGTCAATCTAATCATCTAAACTCGCAAACATTCACATTGAAGACAGATAAAACAGACGAAAAAAAGAACGGCATCTACATTACATATCTATCATAAAACCCAAAACCGATTTGGAAAATGAATTGTATAAGTGATGTGTTGTGAAACACGTTAACGGTTTATTTGTGGCCGACCCGAAAGCCGGTTCTCTTTTTTTCTGCTGCTACCAATTTCTTTTCGTTTAAGTTGTACACTAGGGTGTTCAGCTAATCTGAAAAAGAAGAATGAATAGCATAAATTTAAAGAGAAGCCAATTTTATGTCAACTGGTAGCATTAATAGAGCGTTATACAACACTTCCAGAAGAAAAAAAAACTCTTTGCAAAATCGAATAATGCTTACCTAAACGACCCACTAGAGTACTCCTGCGCAGTTAACATCAACCAGATGGGGAGTCAACTTGCTTCAACGCAACTATCCCACATGATCGGGATAGCCTTTAATAACTAATGTTACATTTGTTTTTTTTTTGTTTGCAATGTGCTGATTAGACAGCATGATCAGCTGGCTGCTGGTCGTACTCGAACATTTCTACATCATTATCCACGATGGCGACAGCTGCAGCGGCTGCTTCAGCGGTTGCTCTAGCGGCAGCAGCAGCGGCAACAGCAGCGGCTGCTTCAGCAGCTTCGCGCCAATACCTATTGATCGCCTCTGGTATCGGAAGTCCCAGTAATGTCCATAGTCCTGAACAATTAAACAAATGAACCTTCTTAAAAAATCATTCAATCAAAATTGTGCGTCAATTAGCCTTACCTTTCAGTAGAATGTTCTTAGCAGCCACGACGTCACGATGCCAAATCACAGAGCATTCGAGGTTTAATCGCCAGTTTTTGTAGTAACATTTTACTTTTGGGAATAAACGCTCGTCTCCTACCAATGCTTCTTCGTTCATGGCGCGTTGCAACTGTCGGTAGATCGATAGATCCGTTTTGCCCAACTTTGACACAATTTTCGTTGGCAGCAATGTTCTGGCGTCGGGTACGCATCGGCATTTCTTGAATCTGGCCGCTTTGTTCTGGTTTTGGAATCGATTCATACATCTTGCGTCGGTTTGAGATGTTCCCCATTCGTCCACCAATTGTATGAAACAATCTCGGCGCTTCTTTATTGACCTCAAAGTCAAACGAACCCCTGGGCAGCGCACGTGCTTCTTGATACTTATTGGGCTATCAGGTGGTATTTCGCCATCAGCACCAAAAAAGAACAGAGTCGGTTTCTTATCGGTCACCTTATTCACCCATTCGTCGACAACACTACTGCTCTTGATGTGTTTGTCCAAGGCGAGTCGAGTGTATTTGGCAGTCGAGTAAGCGCAGATTCCATGCTTCATCATCTTGACTCGGTGTTTGATGTAGTTCAGCCACATTGACCCTTTTGGCGACGGCATCACTGGATACAGATCACGGTTTTCTCTGTCTGCGCGCTCCATTTCGACGAAATTTTTGGTCCATCGCGCTGCTTTGGCATTTCGCACCTTTTGACCTGTTTGCCAGTGGAATTGCTTGCTCGACATTACAAAGTTGGTCTGAAAAAATAAATAGAAAAAAAGGTATAGTTATTGAGTTTTGGCACTTAAGCATTTTCTATTAAAATACACACAACTTATTCAAATGTATACAAAACTTACTTCTTTGCCAGTTTCAATGTCGTGTGTTGTTGTGGTATTCCAACTTCGCACACCTGTATCAACGCCCGAAAAATTTTTGATTGTGCCATCCTCAATCTTCTGAATGATGCGAGATTTTTGGTCGATTTCTTTGTTGGCTGTCTTCTTTTTGGCCGAGTACTGGAGAGACACAGAGATTCCATCGGTGTTTATGGAATAGTCAAACTGCTTTTTGGCACGCACGAATCGTCGAATTTTTCGCATGTAAAAATACTGATTCCACCAATAATCTCTGTCCCGGTTGAAATCCTTTTGTTGAATCGTTTTCGTGCTTGTTGTTCCTTTTTTATTCTCGATTTCCACTTTCGGTAGCAATTTTTGCGAAGACAACACCTGGTGCATGGATGAACAATCGATTCTGAAGTGCGTACGCCGGAAATCACACATCGGCACCACTACTAAATTTCGAATCAATGGCCGAAAATCTGGGTTGTCGAGCATTTGGCTGCGCTTGCGTTTCCATTTTCCTTTTGTCTTTTTTCGCTTTCTTTTCTTGCGTTTGGGTCGGCGCTGATGTGGCCACTCCGAATTGTACTCTTCTATCTCGCGCTGCATGGATAGGTACATTGGCATGGCCTTATACCAATGTTTTGGGTCAGTTGTAAGGTCATGCAGATCGATTTCTGGGAACACATTGCAATCTCTCACGATATCATACAACACCTCACACCGTACGAGTTTGTTTGGATCGCGAATTGGCACTTTGATGTCTTTTTGTTTGATGATCAGATTCACAACACTTGCGATGTCACTTGGCAAAAATTTCTCTCCATCCTCTTCCAAGTTTGAGTTCAATTCGAACACTTTCAGTTTCAAGTACTGGGTGATGTGTTTGTTAGCATGCGTTTCAAGATTGGTGACGACGTTATCTGTGTACTGATTGGTCAAATGCTTAAGGCCATTGCAGAAATCTTTGTTGTTGGGCCAATCGATACGATGATAGTCGTCGAGACCTTCGACAATTGCTTTGAATTCAGGATCGATACGTGGCAGCTCTGCTCGTGGTCCCCGTGGATTTGTTCCGCTTGGTTTATACCTTGACTTCGGTTTTGGTGGCTGATTGTTGTGCCATAGCACTTGTTCAAAGCAGAGTTTGATCTTATCTTCTCCACTTCCACCAAAAAATGCGAAATTATTGTTCTCGACGCCTATATTCGAACGCCTTTTGCACCTCAAACAAGAACAGCAATGAGCCCAAAACACAAATGGAAGTGGCTTGCAAACTCAGATCCGTTATTTTGCTCATCAATGCTTGCTGGTATTGTGGGCGAATGATTGTCTTTAGCGCACATTTGATCGTCGTAATTTCATCTTTCGTCTCTCCCTCCGCTGGTATTGATGGCTTGAAACGATTCGCCATTGTCCTACTGAAAGAAAAAAAACACACATTCGATTTAGTTTGAAAACGAATAATATTGAAACTTAAATTCGATTTAGTTTGAAAATGACAACAGAATGAGACACACAAAAATGACTTCGGTTTGATAACAATGGCATTGATTCAATTTGAGTTCGAACAGTAATCGATTAACTGTTTCTCTTCTCCGAACAATGGACTCAATTCATTGCATAAAATGAATTTCACCATCACACGTATTTCACCATCACATGTAACAGAACTATGTACTGCAGAATTATTGTGAAATTCATTACTTTTGTACATGGAATCTAATATTACTGTTGATATGTTCAATATATTTCACGTTATAAATGCTTATAAAACGTTTTTAAAATGAATTCCACAATAAGAAGAAGAGATTGAAATGATCAAGTTTACTTACACTTTGGCGACTTGAATTCAATGTGAACTCCGGATCAAATCGATACAAAACGCACGTAAATCGAAAATAAAACGAAATGAAATACCAGCAAAATCGTAGATAAATTAAATTGCAATGTAAATTTCCAGTTTAAATTGTAAGATAAAATGTAAGAGTTTCAATTTGTTGACTTCGTGTTCACAACGCTGTATGTTTTCTCGGAATGAATGATGCGGCGTCTGTGACATTTCGAAAACTGCTGAAGTGAATGTCAAATGCCATACGGATCGGTTCACATTGCTAATTTTTAGAACATTAGACAATTTGAGCTACAAAGAGTCAATACACATAAAAACGGTTATATTTCGGTGAAATTCCAAATTTATTAGCAATGAAGGACGATTTATTGTTTGATTCCGATTTTTTGGGCCGAAATCTGCGTAGAAATCATATATTCTTATTTGACTCCCCAAACCTGAACACCCTATTGTACACACAATCTAACGATTACTCGCCATTTTGCAATTATTTTATTGTCAACAATGGTGTTAACTTCTCTAAATTCCAATTTTGAGCATGGTCTAAATATTCCACATTGTTGTTGCGGGCAGGTAGACGAAGAAAAAAAATATGAGTGAAGCCATCATGAGTAAATTATTCAGACAGCTATGCGGTTAGTGCCGTTTATTCAACACAGTTCAAAAACAACGAAACGAAACGAAACGAAACAAAATTAAACGGTGTGAATTGATTCTGTTTTTTTTTCTGTTGTGTTCACAGCTTTTGTTATTGTTTTAAATTTTCTGCGTAAATCAGTGGAACACCACATTTTGAATTGTTTAGCGGATCGGATGAAAAATGGAGCATCAAATAAAATGAGTCGTCTTTTTTTTCACATTCTATGGTGTGTTTTTTCTCGTGCGCTTCATTTTTTCACACTTAAATCATGAGCAAAGCATTAATGCCAAGACTAATTGCTTTGACAGCTGATCCGAAGATCTTTCGAATGGAGGCGATTGTGTGTGATATTGAAATAAATACACATTTTATTTGAACTCACCTTCCGAGGCTGATGGAGAAAGTTTGGCTGCGATCGATTCAACGTACACTTTGTTTGTGCATCACTTGTCTTGACTCGTGCGCCCGCTTATCTTGCTCTTCAATTATTTTTTTTTATGCAGAAAACAAATACAAAACAGCAGCAACAACAACAACTGCAACAAATTGAAAAATTGATAGACTGTGTACAATTGGACTTGAGAAAGTTGTATTAATATTTGTTCGAATTCGACGCTTTTATTTTTTTTCTTATTGAAATTTTAGCTTCTTCTTCCACAATATAAACGCTAAACCGCAGAGAAATATAGACATTTGCATAAGACACAAGTCAAAAGCAAGTGGCTGGCGGAATATAATCGCAAAAAGGTGGAATAGATTAGTTTGCACATTAGAAATAGAGATTTTGATTTGAATTCGCTCTCTATAGCAATTAAATTGCTTGCAACTGATTTGTGTTACAATAATTGAATCACACACACACACACACACACGCTGTACACTCGATTAAATTTAGCATAGAAATTCATTAGTACAAATGAGAGTTTGAGCATTGGCAGCAAAAGAGGGCTAATCTTTTCATCAAACACATAAGACAGCAGCGTGTGCGTTTCTTTGAGCCGGCATTTGCATGAGTTCACCTGCTGCCGTCAGACACCGTCTACCGTTTTATCTTCGAAGAAAAGGAAGCTATTTACGAATTCGAGACATGTTTTAATACAATTAAACGCAAAAGGAACTGCATGGTGCTCGTAAATTTTGACTTTCATGCTCCAAACACACGCCATAATGAGAAGTGTTCAAATTAATTAAGTTTTTTTTTCTTCTCAAAAAGACGTATAGTTGTAACTTGTTGTCTGGCACCGTGCATATTTCATTTATTATTCAAACACTCAAAGCATATTTTTTATTGTTATTTTCGCTTGCAGCAATCAGCATGATCGTTGGATGTGTTGCGTTTCCATTCGGATGGAATTCAAATGATTTTCGAAAGATATGCGGCCCAGAATCCAATCGATTTGAGCTTGGCTTGTGCGGAATACGATGGGCATATCCCTTGGCAATCATTGGTAATTATGATTTAACATTATTATCAAAATGACATCAATGCATATTTAATTTGCTGCTTTCAACGGATGGATTATTATATTAAATTCATGTGTTTTTTTTTGTTGCTGTTGCTGTTGCAGGTTGCATCGATGCGTGCATATTGGCCACACTAGCATTCATACTGGCCACACGACATGTTCGATTACAGCCCGAACCAATGTACCAAAATTCTATGTTTAAAGGTAATTTATTCACACTCCGTCGCACCATTACACATAATATTTCACAAAATACGTTAATCAATTTTTTTTCTCTCTCTCTCTCTCTCTCTCTCTCTGCCACCCTATCTTTTTACATATTCCCATTCCTACTTCTGTTTCGCCGATGATGATGATGACGATAATGTGATTGCATACATTCAGGCGAGGTAAATAATGCATATTTAACGGATGCCGTTAGCATAGCTGGCTCACGAAAATCGCTGAATTTACAACCGGTTCTGTTAGTTGGCGCTCCACCGCATCATATGGCAACCGCAAATGGAGACGACAGCATTTCACAGTTTTCGAATCGTACATCCAGCCGCTACAATCGACCTGATTTCCACAACTCTATGCACCACTTTCAATTGTAGACTTGATCATTTCAATGGAAAAAATTCTTAAATTTTAAACAATATGTTTTCGTGATTGTTCTTCTTTTACTTAAAATTCTTGCCAATTTTTTGTTTTGTCATTTCATTTGACCAATCAACCGATCGACCGAAATACACTCTTTTGCTCAGCAAAACTCTCTCTTTCTCTCTATCAATGTGAACCGTTTATTTATTCGCATCCAATATATCGTTTAAGTAGTTCTTCGTGTAGGAGTTTTTTTATTATTATTATTATTATTATTTATAAGTCAATCGCATTTTGATTAGCATCGAGTTGAGGCATTTGAACGCTAAGATCCAACGTAAAATGGATCGTGAACGAGGAATAGTATTTTAGGGAAATATACATACGTATATATGTATTTGACGTGAGTGAAATCCGTATTAGTCGATAAAATATGTCATTTTTATGCGAATAGAAATTGTATTTTAGTTGAAATGGAAAATAAATTGTTGAAACAACACATCAATTGGGTATGGTTTTCGTTTATGATTTTACATTTTATGAGAATTGTTTTTGCGCGGAATTCTTTGGGTGGTTAGAGGTTAGGTAGAGGAATGGAGTGAAAATCGTTTAATCTGCCGAAATTCAAGTACACCGACATTTCAACAGTCGAGCTCATTCAATGAACCAAAACCGAAATGCAGGCACGAACAGCGCGCGCTATCCACATTTCATCTTTTTTTCCCACAGAGGCACAAACGATAATGTAATCAAAATCGACAAAATTCCCAAGCAACGTATCGTTGATTCATCATCGGCAGTAAGCATAGCGGCAATAATAACTCGAATCAAATTCGGAAAAACGGTAAGGTTTTGATTTAACGATATGTCAAATGCAGAAATTGAAGTTATTCGCTTCGTTGTTTGTTGGTCGCAGCCCCTAAAAACTCAGCATTATTGTGCGCATTCAATCGCTGTGTGGTATATATGGGTATGTATGATGCTATTGCGATTATGGAGTTCTTTTTTCAGTTCGAATTTTGTGAGCTTGTTCCGTGTTTGTAAATGATGAGTAAATAAGGCTTCCCAATTGAATGAAATGACTTTGTTTTCGCTTATTCTATTTAGTATTAGGATATTTCGCACTGAAAATTTAACAACAAAAAACAAGAGTTTTGTACAAAATCACCATTTTATATAAAAGCACAAAAGTACCAGTCGGTCTCTTCAAAAAAAGAACAAAGCTATTTTGTCAATTTAAATGTTAAAAATGGAACAATAAGTACAATGTAAATTGTAAACAATCTGTAAATAAAATAGTGATAAGACGTCGCATTTCAATTATCTGTCACAGTGATCCGCTCCAAAATCGATGAATTTGGCGGTTGACATCCCAAGAAACATTCATGTAACGCAATTTAGTCATTTTTAACGTTAAAAGATGTAACGTTTTCAGACTTTTTTTCCGTCAAAATCGACTGAAATTTCAGTGTAAACCAACTGTATGAATATTGGGAACGAGAAAATGTTAGATTTTAAATTAAAGAGAAAAGAATTATGTATCAATTAATAGTGTTCACAAAAATAGTATAAAATTCTATGATTTAAATTGTTCATGTTTTTGTTCATGTATTGATCCAAAGAGAATGAACTAAATGGTGAGAGTATATTTTCAAATTCATTTCTTCTGATTTTCAACGATTACGTTTTAAATTGTCCAGAGATGGCAGGCAAAACTAATGTAGTGAATATTCCCGCTATTAGTGTTGGTTCATTTTGAAGTTTGTTATTATAAACAAACCGCCGTTCACAATTTCACCATGTCATGAAATATGAATCTTTGCTTCGTTCGACTAAATTCATATTGAACAGCCAGCAAAAGGGAAAAAGGGTAAGTCATTTGAATTGTTATCGTTGTGACATCGAACGAGTGATCGAACCAAACAATACCACCGTGTGCATGTGATTTTCGAAATCAACAAACCATCGATTGTTGTGTGTTTTTTTTGTTTGTTTACAGTTTTGATCCGTAGCCTGTGGAAGAAATCTGCTGTCGAAATATCGTGAGCGTTTCGATATTTTATCACGGTGTGCGGTGTTCGTGTCACAACCAAATTCAGCTTGATGTGTCAAACTGATGCCGGTTGCACATTCACATTGATCTGAGCATTTGGAAAGGCAAGTCATTTGTTGTGAATACTGTTCGATTTACAGTGATTGTTTTTTTCGTTTTTCATTCAAATTAAGTAATTTAGAAGCAACAAAAAATCATTTCTAGTACGTTCTAAAGTAATTGTTGTGTTTTCATTCCATTTTTTCAGGGTTCAATAATGGGCAGAAAAAGGATAGGGGCACATACCATTCGTGGCAATAGGTCGAAACCGCGGAAAGTTGAAGATGGCAAGCAAAAGGAGGAGAAAGCATACTTTGCAATCAAGTTGGCCGCCACTAGTATTGTTCGACCGGAATATCGTGATCGTATTCTGCCATGGATCACAAAAACCAGCATAAAATGCACCGAAATATCTGAATTGGCGTCGCTTTTATTCCTCAACAAAGTCAGAGCTGCCACTGAACAGGCCATCATCACCGGCAATTGGGAATATTTCGACGATGGCGATGGAATGCACATCATCGAAAATTGCTTCTATGCTGTGTTGCGGCGCTACAAGGAAGACGATTTCATTATGGATCCATGGTTCCGGCATTGCTTTGAGAATGTGGACATCGAGAATCGCTCCGCATGGCCAAACAATGATTACTTCGGCAACTTGATGAAATATTTGTTCCAACAATATGGCCGTAATGTGAAGACGAATTTGGATACACATGCACAGAAACGATTGCGGTATTTCTTGAGATTGAAGGCATTCAGACAGAACTACACTAACCGGATTCGTGGCCTACCGGACACATACGATGAACGAGATGTGGCAAATGCAGTGTCATGGGCAATCAAACGATATGACGCAACAAGAGGTGATGCTAATCGCTTGGCCAAACGAGATCGATTGTTGCGTTACGTTCGAGACATTCGTGGACCAGCTGACGATGATATCGCCAAATTCACCAAAGACGAAGATACATGGTTTTCATCATTGCCAATGTGGTTGATCATGCAATTGGAAATCGAAACGCACCTCAACTGGGTTGAACAACACCACGACAACATCGTGCAAGTCATTGCGTTGCCAAACATCAAGAATTTGGTGGTCATCCCAATCTGTCATCACACGCGAAAGGCAGTGAGAATAGACGCTGATGTTTTGTATCGTATGATGTGCGAAACCGGTACCATTCCGCGTGATGAATATGGTCGGCAACATACAGTGGGCCACGTCACGTCAAAATCAAATAAAGCGTATTATTTCAATATGATTTTTAACATGGAGAAAATCAATCGAGTGTTGAAAGCAAACAAAAAATTCGAACATATTCTCAGCGATGGTGTATCGGCATCGATTCTGTACTCAGTGAAGAAAACCGTAGTCGACAAGTTAGTGGAAGATGGTTTGGTGCGTAAACGGTACTCTGATGGCTTCTATGTCTATGAATTGGGCATTGATTGGGGCATGAAGACGTGGAATGCAACCGTTAGGCGACGGATTAATAATGACAAAGAGCGAATTCATAATGGCAAAGAGGTATGTTAGCGATTGAATGCATTCTATTGTGATTGTGTCATGTGAATCCATTTCATTGTTTAATTTTTATTGTTCGATTTTTGTTTCCATCTCACAGATGAACTTCACAATCAACAGCAAGAAGTATCATTATGGGACCGAAGAAGGAGTGCGTAAAGAAAAGAGAGAGCGATGGACTCGTGCCTTTGGGCAGTTCGAAGAGAGTGATCGAAACAACCGTGTGCGATATGACCGAATGCCATCACCAAAAGGAAGCAATTGGCGTGACTACATACGGCATCGATTGACCATCATGAAGAAAGCCATTGCAGTGTACACAACCAAAAAGTACACACGTTTAAGTTTTGATCATTACATCGAGTCCAATCGTGTCAGTGACAAGGTGGCCGCAATGCTGGTAAGAATTTACGATTGAATTTTTGTTTCTTTTGAAAAAATTGAATGTTTTTGTTGTTGCTCAACAGACAAATCGCAAACGATGCATCATTAACATTGGAGCTTCCCAACCACCTGCAAATTCACCAATACAGATCAAGAAACACGTTCGATGCCCGGGCGTGCGGAAATTGGTGAAGAGTTTCAAGAAAATGGAAGGCAATGTCATACGATTTGTGAACGAAGCCAGATCATCACGATTGTGTGCCAGATGTTTCGAACCATTTCCATTGAGTACATTGAACGATCGTGTCAAGGTGTGTGAATGGTGTATGCCCGATCAAGATGATTGGCCTGATGGAATGAAGCTACCAGAGAAAATTGTAGCGGCAAAGAGCAAGCGGAAGTTACGATCAGAGCGACGAGCGATGCGACAAGCAGCAGTGCAGAATCCAAATCAACCCCGTGGTTTTGTGTCTAAGGTGATTTGCTACCGTAAAAACTGGCAACAAAACGCGGCAAACGGTATGGATGACAATGTTGAAGAGCGCAGAGGTGTAATCATTCACGACGCTGAACTCGGTATCATCGAGTACACAGATGAATATGTGCCCGAAGACCCTGTTGACGACTCTCCAGTACTGAAGACAGTTTGGCAACGTGACATTTCGGCTGCAAAATTGATCTTGTACAGAGGTATGTTACTCATTGAATTAAAATTGATGCAATAGTAATGTGTGTGTGTTTTTTTTCTCTTTGTTTCAGGGCATTGCGAACTCTTTGGACATCGGCTGCATGATGCGTTCACACGTCAACACCTCGTGTATCCAACTCGATTCCGAGTCAACTTCAACATTCATTAATATCAATGGAGCCGCAATTTATGTTTTATTTTTCAAAAGAATTTATGTAACAGTATGTTATTTGTAGTTGGTTGAGGTCTTAGTCTCCCAGACATCATCGATACCAGATATCGATGGCTATCTATATTCTATAGTCTATATAGATGTAGGTAGAGTACAGGATAATTCCTGTAGGTGAGTATCACTATTTATTAGCATATTGAATATTGATTCATAATCGTTTTTATATCATTCTAATTGATTTGTTTTTACTGCTCTTTTTCTACTTCCATTGTGACGTTAAAAATGACTGAAACTACACCCAAATGCGGGCCCAAATTCAACCGTTTACATACGCTTGGTAATGGATGTATTTGCGTTAACAATTGTTCCTTGGGATGATAATCGGGAATGCAACAAAAATGCAGGAGCATCAAGGCAATAGACTAGATTTTAGACTCCAAGATTTTTTATAGACTCCGTATGACAAAAACTTCTTAGAAAAAAAAAGAAAAAAAAACATAATTTAATTTTGATCGAAATGCAAAATACGGTTGAACGAGATAGGGCAAAAGTGAGACTTATTCAAAGAGTACTACCACTTAAATAATACTGGTACTTGGTTGTTTTTTGGCCATAGATAATCAAAATTCATTATCCTTGATTCCTCATGGTTGAGTCAGGAAATGTGATTGACATAAATCAGAGAACAATCAAATTTATTGTTTAAAAGTGTCAAAAATGTGTCTAATTTCGAGTTCGAATAATTTATTTTGTCAAATTTTTGTTTTTGCACACATTTTTATTTATAACTTTACAATCACACTTCATAGACAATTATTGCCAAAAAATGAAGAGACAACATTGACAAATAAAAATTCCCTTTGAAACAAAGTGATCCGATGTACGGTTTACGTTCTACAGGCGTTCAAATGTTGCCCGTCTAGAGGCGGTTGTATGCATTAGAGGTTTAAATGAAATACAAACGAAAGATTTTTTTAAAGTGTAACATTGACGGAGAATTTTTTCGAATCGGATGCCGAAAACTCATGCTATCTCGCTAAAACTTACGTCAAATGTTTAGCCGTATTTTTATACACATATGTATGATATTACCAAAGCATCAACAAAGCAGTCTGCTTCACCGTTATTAAATGTATTGAGCCATTTTTACGAATAATAAATGAAGAAATAACATAGATCTTGGTAAACAATTAATAAAAAAAAACTGTCTTTTATATTCGGACCAAGTATGTTAAGGACACTTAGAACGGTCAATTTTTCCTGGTTTATCAAATGAAACTAGTTTAACATAGCGGCTTTTTCGAATTTCTATCGGAACGTTGGTTATAACAAACTTAATTTTAGTTCTTCCCTCAGTCAAATCTGACCAAGTAGTAAAATTTGTTCGATTAACAATCCGTACCTCGTGGTGATATTTGACAACGTGATTTCTATTTATCTGGTTAACTATGTCATACCACATGCCGAAATTAAATTTGTATCAATTTCAAAATCAAATAAAAAAATTTTGATATCAGTGTCGATGGATGTTCTACTGAAAACTCTTGTCATGGACTCGCCTGGTACTTTGACTTTTTGCGCCAAGTATTTCACTTTTTCTTCTCTATTCTATTCTCTTGTTTCACTTTTGCTTTCTTCATTTGTATTTGTTCTTTTAAATGACGCTTCAACTTCGACGGAAAAAAACGGAGTGTTACCACTAACTTGAATCCTTGCACCAAATTCACCCGAAACTTGCATCGAATTAGATGTCGTAACGCTATCAGTCAATGTAAAGGAAACTTCGAGCTCATCTGTTGTTATTTCTTGCTCTGTCGCGTCATTATTGCAAGCAATTGCTATGATTTCTTGTGGATTTATATCATTTTGTGTACGTGTCGATATCAGTATTGCATTGTGGATTTTCTTTATATTCAAAACAACCTTAAGCGATTCCTTATTTGTTCTCTCTTCGTAGCTCCATGCACCTCACCATGAACCCCACTGAACAATATATTCGCATATTACGTTGTATTTAAGATCTTCAAATTTTTCACTAAATAACTCAATCAACTGATGACCATCTGTAATGGAAAATAATTCAATAATTTATAATATTTTCAATAGTTTATGAAAATTTGAAATTCTGAAGGCACCAAATAAAATTTGGCCGCCTACCAATGGTTTTGAACGTTTTTTGAGCAATCAAATTGAATGCATATGGACTTATACGAACAAAAGCATCATGACATAGATGGCGCATTACTATTTAATGCAATTCACACACATTGTGATTCCGGAAACGGAAAACGGATATCCGTTTTAGGGTACAAAATCATGTACTCACAGCAGATAAGTGCACAAGCACCGTACGAGTTAACCGAGTTCAATGTAAAACCAATACAAATGGAGGATGGCACGCGAGGTGTTCCATCACAAATAAACAAAATTATTTGTCCCCAATTGACGATTATGCCGATAGTAAGTACATTCTTTTGACAGAAACCGATAAGAGTTGAGTGAAAGTATCTTTAAAACAAATCTGCTGTCCAGCGAAACAGAGCAAGCAAATTTATTTGCAGACCTCCTCGGTGCCGGATCAAACATTAGAAGCTACTGGTGCACAGCAAAGGCGATTGCTAACATTTTTCGAGCACCTCGTTAACATATATTTGCTTGAAGTCGTTCGTGTCATATTTCGCTCAATTAGCACGAAATGAAAGGACGATCATTCATTACGTTCGCATCATGTTCATCTGTTCGCATAGATACGGACTTCCACATGGAATTTCAAGCTGGAAACGACAACTTAAACAAAAACTGCGCATCAATTTAATTAAACTTCATTTATTGATTTATTTTATTTGCTTATTGATAAATTTTTCAATTTTTTCCGTTTTTATTTTTATTTTTCGCAGGAATGATTAAATTAGATAAAAATAACATATGATTTGCACAATCAATATTCGAGAAACTGTTTATCGAAAAATTAAATTGGATTTTCGTTTACTCATCATTGAGATTGCATCAATGCAAATGGGTGTGTGTTTATTTTTCTGTGTTTCACTTCCTACTACTAAATTCATAGTTCATCATTATTAAATAAGTTGTATGTGTGTTTGTGTGTGGATTTTTGTTTGTTCATTTCACAAAAATTAAATAAATTTATTTATGTTTTTTTTTCTTGCTAATCTAATGTTTCTAAAAGCTAAAAGAAAATCATTCACACATTTTAAATTTGGTCAAAAGCATTCAAACATTAATAAATGTATAATAAAAATTTTGGCTAAGCCGAACAACAATTTCGTATAAAAAAATACCAACAAAAAGAAATGCTAAAAGAAAAAATTTCGTTTCCACAAATAAAATCAAACTATTTTTAAACATCTATATTTATTTACACATTTCAAATTGCATTGCATTTACAGTGGACGGTAATTTTGTGATTTATCTCCTTTCTCTCAGTTTTGGTCTTCATTTCTTCCGTTGTTCAACAGCAACAATTCATAAAAATAACACGACGCGGTTCAATATGTGTTGCGAACAAAGAAAATTTTTGCTAAATGGAAGCCTGAGTGAGATTCATAAATGGGTAAAAATTATATGGTTCGACCATCAATTCTAAGTGGCTGCAAAATGGCAAATGGCCGACTCGATGGCAAACTACAAACAATATATAGTTGAAATGAAAGGTATCTGTACATTTTTGGACTGTTTTTTTTTTGTTTTCTGTTTCTTCTGTTTGATTAATTTGCTTTTATTCCATCTACCTTCTCCACCCCGTTTTCATCTTTGCATTGATAGACAACAGAAGAAAATTGCACTTTATACTCTCAGAATTCAAAGGAGGCAAACTAAAAAACATATAGTGTAAAACATCAAATTACCCACTGTTTTTTGCCATTGTAGGCAAAATGTCAGTTTACCTCCACCGTATTAAAATTGTCGGCAAAATGTCATTTTACCTACATTGTGAATACAATGGAACAGCGTTCCACCAAAAATGTAGGTAAAATGACATTTTGCCGACAATTTTAATACGGTGGAGGTAAACTGACATTTTGCCTACAATGGCAAAAAACAGTGGGTAATTTGATGTTTTACACTATATGTTTTTTAGTTTGCCTCCTTTGAATTCTGAGAGTAGGCTTAACGCGATTGAGCTAACTGCTATGTGATAACTGACTGAGCCAAGAATCCACAGACTGATCAACAAGAAACAATCGTTATTTTTTTTTTAATCTTCTTCATAGCCACGCATCAATGGAAAATGGAGTCCATTTATATAAACCTGCACAATATAGTGTGGCCATAGCTTCTCCTCCCAATTTCACTCCTCACAATTTACTATTAAATAAGGCTAAACATCTAAAATGATTTACATGACATGGCAAACAAACATTAAATAAACCTACGTTAAAATATTTAATTATACAAATAATAATAATAATAATTTTTAGCACACAATTTTAAACATTAATTTGGCTTTGAATGGACCATAAAAGCCATGCTCCCATCGCGCGATTCCGCGTCTATTCTCCTTTTTCTTCTAAAAACTACGGTTTTAATTAAGCTAAAACGATCACAATTTCAAAATTTGAATGGTTTTCCGAAACATCGTATGTGTCTAATGCCTAGGATGCCTATATCTACTGTTCCAAGGACATTTTTGCTACTTCACAAAATTGGTTGGTAATTTCGTCTTCTTCATATTCAATTTTTCTTCTTCTTGCATTTGTTTCGTGTGAATTTTGTTTGAGACATTTTTGCAACGATTTTGGCTTAATTTATTTTTGTGACAAGTGTTGGTATACCCCATTGGTCAACTGAAAATGACCAATCACCAGTGTTTCAAATGCTGCGATATTCTATAAATATTGAATAGACATGATAGCTTTTCGGAATGTTTAGCGCAAAATCAATGGCAGTCACTGTCAATATAATAAATCGAGAGGCAAACAAGTCTTTTTGTTCGTTTTCTATTGGATCATGGAATTTCTTTTACATTTTCTTCTTCCGTTTTTTTTTTCTCTTCTAAGCTAGGAAATTAAATTAAGTGTATACATTCTACACGGTAATTATCAACAGAAGTTGTGTCAATTACAATGATATAGGAAAGTATTGGTTTCACTATGTCAACAGATCGATGTCGTTTGTGTTGGTTTTAAGTAGCATATAACTGTCACGTTGATGATGGTGCATCATTATTCGGTGTTGATGTTGAACCAAAAGGCTGCTGCCACGGCGCAATGATCGTCGCCCCATTTCCAACAATTCCACCGTTGGATCCGAATGGAAGACAAAATTTTTGTAGGCACGCACAAAGATGAACATTAACATAAATGAACCGGCCAAAATCATACTGTACGATAGAATTGGCAATGCAGCCGGACCAAACACCGTTGCCAAATAGATCCAGCGACGTATTGATGGCGTTAACTCGGCAATACCCTATATTTTCAATGGAAATCATACATGGTCAATTTAACGCATCTTCTCTTTCAGTTCACAAAAACGAAGAATTTTTGGAAATTCTGAAAAATCAAACGAAAAGAAATGAAACCAAAGTGAAAGCCTACCTCTTCGACCCAAATGATGGGGAACATAAAGCTGCGGAAATTCTTCAATGAATTTATGTAAATCGATTGGTCAACTTTCAAGTTCAATTGAACTCGCACTTTTCCTTCCAATGGTACGCCCAATTTCTGTATGAAAATCAATTGAAAAGGTTTCAGATGAGTAAACAATGTTCAATAAACGGAACAAAAGGAAAACAATCAAGAGATCTAATGGAAAATGCGTGAAATAAGCTACTCACCGGTTGAATTTTGAAATAGGTTTCGTGTTGGCTTTGATTCGGTTTCAAACCATCGACAGCATCCAAAAGTGCTGGGTCGGCCAAATAGAAATGTGGATTTGATATGTACACTGGAGCGCCTGATGGATTCAAGAAAATATTTCAATTTTATTAATGAAATTACATCGAAAGGGAACTAAATTTGGTGGAAAACAAGAAAACTTACTGTATTGACACGGGCTAATGTTCTGAAGTCCTCTTGCTGCCTTGTAATCTTCAGTATCAAAGCATGAATTATTCGGATTGTTTGCCGAATCACCGTAGATGTTATCGGGTGTGCCGTAAAGATCAGCTGGAATGCCTGTGAAACAATAACATTCGATTGGTTATTTCAAACATTTTCATTTCAAACTCTCAGGACTTTTGCAAATTGCGAAGCAATTCGTAAGGTTCGAGTAAAACAAAGAGCCGAGCTAAACAACAAGAATATATCAACAAATTAATTGATTGTCACTTACCATCCTTGTAGACGGTGTTACGGAATTCAAGAGGTAAAATGCGGCACAAATCCTTATCGTAAACGTATCTAATGTCGGATTTCGTGTATTCTCTGGGTGGAAAGAAGGATCCTTCGGATGCGGTAATATCGGTGCATGGTTCACTATCCCAAAATGGTAACGAGTTCTGTCCATTCAACTGATCCAAATAACCAAACTTTTCCATACCATTGTGACCAGTGTTGATTGTGGAGACTTCGGTTAAGGTTCCGTTGCGCTGCAGAAGAGAAAAAAAAGGTAAAATTAGACGATTCGTATTTCATCGAAGCAAACCCATCATGCGCCTGAACGTATGCAATATATCAACGCATCAAATATTCATTTTTGAAGTTGTTATCCATCAAGAAGAACCATTAAATCGAGTGGTTTATTGATATTTGTTTCAATTAGTCATTCGAATGTGTGATGATACTTACGCCAAGTAGCAGGCCCATTTTTGACATGTCTGGTCGAATATTGCGCGGATAAAATGTGTGCGCCATATTCACCAGCGTATCTTCGTACCCAAATAGGAGTTCGTTAACCGACACCGATATGAAAGGTTGAAACTTCGGCCCGTACAGTAGCCTCGTCATCGTTAGCGCAAATGATACGCCGGCTCCAAGTATTGCACCAATTTTATTCGTTTGCGACGATAACGTCTATTCATATGGAAATTGATGGAATGGAAAAATCGATATTATTGTAATGCGATTTAAATGAATGTAAATGTTTATGGGTTTTTCTGTTCAAGATCAACCGATCGAAACAGGAAAAGAAAAAGCAAGAAAAGAATGTGTTTTTCATTGATTGCATACCAGTAAGGGGATATTTGGTGTCATAACACGAAGATTTCTGTCAATACTTAGTTCAGGCACAAATTGTAGAATCTTCTTATGTTGATAAGTAACCGTATAGTTATCATGAAATTTTATGTTCACTTTTTCCATGTCCTCTCTGAAAAAAAAAACACCCAAAGAAAAGAAAAACAAACAAAACCATTACAAAATTGATTCATTCAAATGATTGCGAATTGATCGGAAGTCGCATATAAATTTTTTGTTTAAGACCATTCATTTCGCCAAGTTCATATTCCAACGTGAACACATTTTTTTTTTGTGAACGGTTTGGGTTGCGAGATGAATACGTATATTTTTTTTTCCATTCGTTCGTTCGTTTATTTAATTTGTGTGCGCTGTGAGTTGATGCTGTCGTTGCGAACCGGTGTCGCAAGGCAAGTGAGTATATCGATTCACCATATATTTTGTGAGTCAAAAACCTCTATTCCGAACCAGATTTATGTTGCAACACTAAACTTAATTGTCAACAAAGAACTTGAAATCTGTCATTCGATTACAACGAGTGCAGAAGAGACAAAGCGAAAAAAAAACCATTCATGAAATTATTCTATAAATTTCAATGTATGAGAGGCGAAGCGAGGCAAGCAGAATAACAACAGCAACAGCAACGAAAAAAAAGAATGGATTCCGATTGCAGTCCAATGGCGTAGAGCAAAGACAAGTGCATTCGATGTGTGTGTGTGCTGCTTTTTCTTCATCTTCTGAATTCAGTTGTTGTTGTTCATGCGCCGTTTTGTTTCATGGATATAACTGGATCATAAGGTATTGGAATACAGGTAAGACGAGTTTTAAAACCAAAAAATACTTTGGATCGACAGTGGCTGTAACTATTTATCAGCATCCAATGAGATTGTCGATAGACAGAGAGAAGCGACGATTTTACTTTTTGCCCACAGAGTCGGCTATGACTTTGAGGCACTGAAACGAAACACTTGCTCATTTTACTGATCCGGCTTCGATACATTCGCACATTGCAATTCTTTGCGAGAGCCTTTTCAAAAGCGAGAAATTGGTCTTTCTGTGCATGTGCATATGCATGGAGAAAAAATTCCATTTTTGCAGGATTGAACGAACGAGCTAAAACCTACATACATCGCCGGTAATTGAAGGTGCCAGGCGGCTGCAGCAGCAGCAAATCATTCCAATGCAAAGAATTAAATTGCTCTTTGTTCCTCTTCAATGTTTTACTGGCAAATCACACGAGGCAATACATTCTAATGTGCAGCATCATCTCATCAGCATTTTCAAATAGTTCAAAAGATCACAGCAATATTCGAATACCCGCACAATAAATTACAAACTAAATTACACAGCAAACACTGCGTTTTATATGAAAATGAAATAAAGCCGACGATTTATCATAGTCGCAAAAGAAGAGCCAACAATCAGACAATTCCACATTATTTATTCATCGTTGTGATCATCGTATTAGGTGAAATCAATTTTTCCAGTAAGTGTTGAATCGTCAGTGTGGTTTTGTGCATGGTTCATTGAGTTACGAGTCATCGAAGACGACAGTGCTGATATGAGTAAATATACGAGTTTTACTTGAATTATTTGATGAAATATCGGAATTACTACCGCTACCGACCACAGAACATCTTAATCAATCGCATTCTCTACAAAGAAGTCCCATCAAACGATGTGATGATCGATGCGATAATGCACCCACGATCATTTTCATTGATTGTTTGGCAGCGGTTTGTTGTTTATTGTAATCACACACATATTGCTCATCGAAAGCTTTCATGTACGCAGGGGACCAATTTAACAAGAGACAGAATAACAAAGGAAATAAATTTTCAGCAAATCACACACACACACACACACACACACGAAAATGGACGAGAAGTCAGAAAGAGAGAATTAAGGAAGTAGTTTTCTGAATGAATTGCGCTTTAACACGAATGTAATGTGTGTCTTTTTCTTCCCCATGCGTTCTCTCTCTCATCTCAAAATGCTGAATAAATGTTTCCACGGCATACGGCATATTGGCAATAATTCGATTTTTACTGGAACAAATATTTTATTCATTTGATTGCCTTTATTGAAATATTATTTATTTTATTCTGCGATTCATTTTCTTCTTCCGCCACAACACACAAACACACAGCAACTTTGTATCTTACGAAGCGAATAAACGGCCATAGAATATTGAAATGATATGAAAAATGATGTGATCACGCAATATCATGTTTTGTCATAATTTGTCAATTCGCGTTGTTGTTTTTCTAAATAAAAAAGGTCTTTGAATTGAAATGTCGGTGTTCCGATTTGACACGCGCGCCAAACAAATGAATAGCAACACGAATGGTCTTTATTGAAAAGAAAATCTAAAGATTGTTTCAAATAGAAAAGAAGCGAAAATAAAACAATCAACTTACCTGTACACAAATGGTCCAATTTCAACCAATTTCGGCTTTTCACCATTCAGAAACCCATCGGGATTCGTCACATTGAATATATAGACTTTCGTTAAGCGTATAACACCTGGCCGTTGCCAGTAATGGAAACTAAGTGTATTATTCCAAAGTCTTAAATTCTATTGTCCGACACATCCGCAATGAATGATGGTGGCCAAAAGAGGAGAAAAAAAAGAAAAATGAAAATTATTATTTGAAAGATAAAGTTTTTTTTTTACAAAAAAGAGAAAAGCAACCGTATTCAAAAGAAAAATCGGTGTTCATCTACGTGTTACATGACACACTCCACTATTGTGGAATTTGAATACTCCCATGAAAAAAAGACAAACAGTTTCATTTCCACAAATTGTTTTGACTTGACAAAAAAAAAACATACACACAAACGGTCTCCGAATCGTTGTCATGTTCAAGAGAATCTCATGATAAAATTTTATGAATTCAATCTGTTTTTTTTATGGATTTCAATGTAAAAGAGAACAAACGGCCGTTTACAAAAACGACATTAAAACAGAATGAACTTGAATTTATAAGCAGTTCAACAGAGACAATAATAATAATAATAATAAAAAAATTATAATACGATACATTCCACGCCGAAATAAACACCGAAAAGAGAATTGCATAAAATTAAGTGTACGAAAGCGAAAAATGGACTGAAACACACAGACTTACACACAGACTTACACACACACACAAGTGAAGAGAAGGAAAAAAGCACTCACCTTTAAAATAAAATAATCTATCCATGGAATAGATGATAAAAGTACACCCACGATGAGTGTAATTATTCCTAAAATTATCACAGCAACACTATCTACATTGGGCGCAAAACGGAAAAAAAGAGAAAAAAAAAACAAAATAATTTAATTATGTACAGAGTAAAAAATTGAAATTGAAGAGCGATAAATTTATGAGCATAAAATTGTAATGAAAAGCAGAGACCAACAAATTAACACGACGAAATGAGATGAAATCGTGCCTGTGGAATTTTAATATGATCAATGAGAATTGCACATTCTCATTACCCTACTTCATAAATTCTCATCGAACACAGCAGCAGCAGCGGCAGTAACAACAACGGTGACTACCGCCTGCTGTTGTCGTCGTCGTCGTCGTCGTTGAACATAACGGCATTGCTTGCAAGTGCATTTCAAACAAACAAAATATGTAATAAAAAGTAATTTGTTAATTGAACACCAATGCCAAATGTTAAAAGGTAGCCTTTGTTTATACGTCGAGCTATTTAAGCGGCAGTGCGTATTTGTGCGTGATTTCCTTTTCTTTGCGTTGTTCAAATCGAAGTTCGTCTTTTAATAATAACATTCAATTTACACCTCATTATCCGATCTAATCAATTAGCGTCAATGGGTGTAATGTGTATAATTTGTTTGGTATGTAACAAATGACTCTAAATATTTTTTTTTCTCCAACCAATTTTCTATTCATTCAATTGTGTTCGATTCTGCTTTTCTACGGTATAGAAAGGGCTTAAGCACATTGAATATTTATTCCATTGATGAATCCAAAGAAGACAAAGCACAAATCTTTCAAACACACACGCGACTTTGTCAATCGAGAACAAAAAACGAACCAGTAAATAATACGAAGAACAAGTGTTCGATTGGCAAGCGGTAAATGCGCGCACGCGACCCGAATTACATACTTAGATAGAGATCTCTGTTTTTTTTGTGTTTAAACACAGAATAAAATAGAATCGAATGGATTACATGCATTTTTTGTTCGAGTATTTGTTCGCTTTATTGTCCGAAAAAAATAGCGTGGATGGTTTGGTGAGCTTTTTTTCCCAATGGACATGACTGGCACGTGAGCATGTGTGTGTGACGAAAAAAATGAGCTACGGTTATCCAGCTAAAGAAGAAAAAGAAGCAAAAACGCAAATAAATGCGCGTAAATTCTGTTCATTGATGTATAATTCGATGTTACAGTCGTCGTAGTTGGTGCTGCTGCTGCTGCTGCTGCTGCTGCTGCTGCTGCTGCTGTGGCCACCGTGATTACCGTTGGTTCCGTGTGCGCACAACGCGCTGTCTTTCGCTTTGTTGCATTCATTCCAATGATTATTATACAATTTACGAACGAAAACAAAAACTATGCACTTGTAGAAGAGAACGATTCAGCGTAGTCTTTTTTTTCCGAAAGCATTGATTTGGTGTAATTATTGTGGTCTCCATAAATGTGCAATATACACAAAACCCAATAAAATAGTTATTAAGTATTTAAACGGAATCTAAATGCGGCACGACCAAATCGTACTCATATCTTTGTTTGTTTCGTTTGTGCAGCACATAGACACACACACACACACACACATAGAACGCATCGTACACACAAGCGACGGAATGGGAAAAAAAGCATTCGTTGACTCGGACGTACCACAAATTCGTTCGTATTTTTGACGATAAATTATTATGACGAAGGAATGCACCGATCGAAAGAGTTGATCGCCGCCGCACAGCGAACAGTATCAACGATTCGAAACATTAAAAATTATACAATTATTTATTGAGTTAGCCCGTAGAGTGGAGTGCGTTTTGCCTTCACTCATCCATTGAGCATGTGTGCGCCGAATATGCACGAACGCGAGTGCTCGAGAGTATGAAATGTGTTCGGTAACACTCCAAAAACAAGGTCATGTACCTACGAGTCAGAAGTAGAATTGCATTTTCATCATATTCTGAAGATTTAATTTGTTCGCATTGAGCTGCTTGCATGCAATTCACTATTATTTGCTGTTATTGTTGTTGTGGCTGTTGCAATTCGGTGTCTCTTATGATGGTCACCAGAGTCGGTGAGTATGTGTGTTCCTTTTTTTTCTGTCGATATTCTCGCTCTCGGTGTCTCATTGCGTGGTGATTCTATGCGGAGGCATTCTTTTTGAACTTTCACGTTCTGTTCGCACATTGCGCGAAAGATAAACGAAAAACAAGATTTTTTTTTTCGTTTTCTTGTTGTTGTTGCACATTTTTTCCCTCGACAATATTTTTTATATATATATATGGAAACTGATGCCCATTTCGCATGCGAATGTATCGACGCGTAATGAAAAAGAAAAATGTTGCAATCATAATTAAATTGTTTAATGAACATAGTAAGTGATTTAATTGGAATGAGTTGTGCCACCGATCTGTCAAGCAATGACAATTAATGCCGTCAACCATATGATATGCACACAATGCATATTGAATCAACCATCAACACCACACACAATGACACCCCACCATGTTGACATAGCAAAATAGCATCGAGTATCGATAATTCATTTGGAAAATGACACAAATGGTGTTTTTATTAGTGAATATTCTATTTATAGACTAAGCGAGAGAAGAGAAAAAAACACTTCGCTCAAATGCAAAAGGACGACTTATGCAAATAGATGCATTAAACTAATCTCTGAATTTATTGCCACTTTCTTTCCTTCCGACACCTTCAAACCATAATAAACGATTTTTATATTGCATGCAAAAAGTGAATTCATTATACACTCTGTTGCCTCGAAATTCATTTGCACGAAGAAGAAAAAAAAGAAGTTTATTTATTTTCCAAGAATTCATTTCATTGACTAGGAATTTGGGGAATTTGTAGTTTGAGTTGAGGTTTAAAATGTGTAATAAAGTGTTTGTATTTGCCTTCAAATTATGATCGATTATGATGGAATTTCTGTTAATTATCATTCCGTGCCGTTTGAATGATCTGAACTGAAGGTGAAGAATATATAAAGAAATTCCAAGTACATGGACTTATTGACAGCACAAAAAAGAGCGAGCGATTTCTTTGCATTTTATTTTTCTTCTGAAGTTGGAAATTAGAAGCGAGAACGATGACAATAAATAAACAAATGACCATCAGGCTTATGCATAACCACGGAAAACAACCAAAAAAAAACAAGACGATTAACCCGTGGATATTTATTATTAGTAGCATACTGCGGTGCACGAAAGCACACGCATTCCGTGGAAAAGTGATTGTACAACGACAAAAAAATGAAGTGTTCAAGTATATTTTTTATTTGTTGTTTATCCAATTCATTGCAGACAAGAGAAGAAAGAAGAAAAAAACAACAACAACGTCTACATTGATGACGCCAAAAAAAATGACCCACACTTGTTATCTGCACTGTTAACACCCAAAACACTCAATTGTTTATTTTTGTAAGTCGTCACAGACCGTCTTAATCCTGTCTTATGACGCATTCAACTTGCGAATACGAATCGAATGAAGAAAAAAACAACAAACTCACAATATTTGGCAATGTTTTTATTTTTGCGCGCGCCAACAAATGCCCAACAAACCAGTTGCACCAGATCAATGTTGTGCAATCGATACGAAGTGATCGCCGCTGCGTTTGCAATTATTTTAGATGAATTTTCCACATGTTCAGACAAATGCTGATCATTTCTTTTTTACTTTTGTGGGTCAATGTTCCAATCGCGCGCGTATGTGCTCGATCAATACACAAATTGGATTCGTAATGATGTGTGCAAAAATTGCACGTGCTTCTGCGAATTGTGCGTGTGTGCAAATATTGTTGTGATTGGAGGCTTATTTGTGGTGCTACTGTATCAATTGTAGTTATCTCCGCTATAAAACCCATATAATATGGAACAAGTTTGACATGGGCAAATTGTATGACATTGAAATGAATATTTTCGATATCGTCAGCCATCAACACGATTCACTCTGGGCTCGCTATCTCTTTCAATTTTTTTGTTTTCCGGAGCCTTTCACAAACCAAACCACGTACGCGGCGCGCATATTGGAATAGCTTGGGCTTGCCCGAAATCTGCATGTAAACACACAAACACGAACATTCAATGGAAAAAAGAATGTTGCTAACGAACAGGATTCGGAATTCATGTCAAGAACTTGACAACGTTTCCAAATTGTACTTTTCCTGTGCTCTGTTCGAATGGATCATGTTTTCTTCTTCTTATCTTCTTGTGAGGGACTTTTGGTGACAAGTGTGTTGCATTGAAGACACCGTATACCGTTGTTTGCGATCCATTCAAATCGGTGGTGATGAAACCGTCTAGGTTTGAATGCAAAGAATTCAAGGTAAAAGAAAATTACACGTGAAATGCCCAGAGAAATTGTGTTGAAATTTACAAACGGAAAAAAGAAGAAGAATCGTTTCATTGATGAACAGAAAAAATGATGTAACTAATCAGTATTTATTATCATTGTCTATGCAAGACCATTATACAGCTACTAATATCGCTCAATATCAATGTCTCCATAGATCGATCCATAGATGTATTTGCCGACCAATGCGCAATAATTTGCAATGTTTCTCAGCTCCAAAAATGGATAGCAAATATTACGTTATGAACGAAGAGAAAAAAATAAACATCTTGAACGCATCGTACGCGCTTCATCATCCACCATTTATATGCTATTTACTTTAATAGATTTTTTTTTTTCGTAGTTTCTTCTTCATCATCATAATCATCATCTTTCAGGTGAATACGGCCGCTACGCTTGCCATTTGCCAATTGCTATTGATTTGTGCTGAATCATTCCATTTAATAATCAGCTATTATTTGATTTAATCATTGTAAACTGAAGGAGAGAAAAGAAGCAAACAGCCGCCGCAACTACACAGACAACGACGACAACAACAACAGTTGAGGTTAAACAGCTGTTTGCATTACAATGAATGCTATAACGGTAGCCACTATCCAATTCACGTACTTGTATTCAAATTAGGTAAATCCTATTGTATTGGTTGAAACCATAGACAATATGATACAATTGGCCCGTGCCATACCAATTGTAACTCATTCTCAGTGCACCAATTAA